TAGCAGGGACGTTCCACGGTTTCCCCGGACCAGGAAATTGGCTGAGCCCCCCCAGACCGGATAACATGGCGGCCCCCCCAAAAAGAGGGCATAGAGCTTTACAGGCCGGCCGCGATGAAGCATACACAACACGGGGGGATGGGACCTTCAGCCAGTACCCAGCGACAGGGTAAACAGTGGGGTGGGAGGGAAAAGCCCCAGGCAGATAAGAAGTTGACTTAAGTGGGAGGGGGCGAGGGGATTATCGATGAATCACGGCGAGGAACGTAGACACAGAGACAATGGGAAGGGGGGGGGGGATCACGTGACCCCCCCCCCCCCCCCCCAACGGCCAGAGTGCTCCAAACGGCCGCAAAGAGGATTCAATTGGATGCGCAGGATGAGGTGATATGACCCGGGGGGTTAAGGGGATTTGGACACATAAGGGGGGAGGAGGGAGAATTTGAGGCAGAGTCCTTCTGGAGCGGTGGGGAGAAGCGAGCCGTCCTCAGCGTCCGTGCGATGCCTGCAGGGTGGAGCTGAACGCGATCGATCAGAAAAAGTCCCTAAGGCGAGCCCCATCGGGTAGCTGCAGAGGCGAGTGGATACGGAAAAGGGAGGCCAATTCATTCAGCTCGAGCTTAGGTGATAGACGCACTCTGCGACGGGTAGCTGAGAGGAGGAAGGGTGCTGGCTGGAGGCGGTCACACACGGGGGTCCTTATTCGCTCCGGGAAATAAATCTTAGCACAGACTGACGTTGTGACGCGTGGTGCGTGTGTGCGTGTGAAGAGCGGTGGGACAGCGATCGGCGTACGCCGGTGTGTGGGTGACGTTAATCAGTATAAGCACGACGCGCGCGCGCACACATAAATAAATAATTAACCGGGGGGGGGGGGGGGGGGGCGCTTGACCGCGCGGCGCTTGACCGCGCGGCGCGCATAGCGTGCAGAGATTAATTATTAATTAATCTCTTCCGAGCGCGCGCATATTAAAATGCCTACGTCCGCCCGCGCCGACGCGTGCCTATGCGCGCATCACAGCGTTAACGGCGAGGCACGCGCGGGGGGGGGGGGGCAACGCGTGGGTGGGGGAGGGCTGTCCGAGCGCCGTTCGCCTTGTTGACACAACGGCTTAAGGGAAATTCATATTCTTGGTTCTTTCGGTAAAGTCACGTTGAAGGGAAACAATAAAATGATAAAAAAAAAATAGATGGACTCATATTCTTGGTTCTTTCGGTAAAGTCACGTAGAAGGGAAACAATAACATCCATTATTTTTCGTCTCCCCCCCCCCTCCTCTTTTCCGAACATAGATGGACTCATATTCTTGGTTCTTTCGGTAAAGTCACGTAGAAGGGAAACAATAACATCCATTATTTTTCGTCTCCCCCCCCCCTCCTCTTTTCCGAACATAGATGGACTCATATTCTTGGTTCTTTCGGTAAAGCCACGTTGAAGGGAAACAATAAAATGATAAAAAAAATATATAGATGGACTCGTCCATCTGAACAAACTGTCAAATCGCTCTCCGTGGTGCTAACGTTAACAATAACCGCCACTTTTTTCTCAAATTTTCTTGTTGTGGCTTTCACACCTGATGATGATTGCTTGTGTTGCAGTCGAAACGTCGTGAGAATTTTATTGTTTTATATTTTTATTATTTTATTGTTTCCCTTCTACGTGACTTTACCGAAAGAACCAAGAATATGAATCCCTGCAGTCACAAAAGCTTTAAATCAAAATTTAAGGGAAATTATTAACTATCCCCACACAGCGACGAGTCAACCGCTTACATAATCCCCGCAGTTAGGACACGCGAGTAGGGGAAGGCGTGCGCGTATTCAGCCCCGAAGGGGAATCGGCCAGCTGCTCGCTATGTCGGTCCGAGAGGACCCCGGTACGGGGGGGGGGGGGGGTAGACGTCGCACCCCACCCGCTCGCGGGGAGTGGGGAGGGAGAGATCAGCCCCCACCTAATGGGGAGTGGGGAGGGGGAGATCAGCCCCCACCTAATGGGGAGTGGAGAGGGGGGGATCAGCCCCCACCTAATGGGGAGTGGAGAGGGGGAGATCAGCCCCCACCTAATGGGGAGTGGAGAGGGGGGGATCAGCCCCCACCTAATGGGGAGTGGAGAGGGGGAGATCAGCCCCCACCTAATGGGGAGTGGGGAGGGGGAGATCAGCCCCCACCTAATGGGGAGTGGAGAGGGGGGGATCAGCCCCCACCTAATGGGGAGTGGGGAGGGGGAGATCAGCCCCCACCTAATGGGGAGTGGGAAGGGGGAGATCAGCCCCCACCTAATGGGGAGTGGGGAGGGGGAGATCAGCCCCCACCTAATGGGGAGTGGGGAGGGGAGGATCAGCCCCCACCTAATGGGGAGTGGAGAGGGGGGGATCAGCCCCCACCTAATGGGGAGTGGAGAGGGGGAGATCAGCCCCCACCTAATGGGGAGTGGGGAGGGGGAGATCAGCCCCCACCTAATGGGGAGTGGAGAGGGGGGGATCAGCCCCCACCTAATGGGGAGTGGGGAGGGGGAGATCGGCCCCCACCTAATGGGGAGTGGGAAGGGGGAGATCAGCCCCCACCTAATGGGGAGTGGGGAGGGGGAGATCAGCCCCCACCTAATGGGGAGTGGGGAGGGGGGGATCAGCCCACACCTAATGGGGAGTGGGAAGGGGGAGATCAGCCCCCACCTAATGGGGAGTGGGAAGGGGGAGATCAGCCCCCACCTAATGGGGAGTGGGGAGGGGGAGATCAGCCCCCACCTAATGGGGAGTGGGGAGGGGGAGATCAGCCCCCACCTAATGGGGAGTGGGGAGGGGGAGATCAGCCCCCACCTAATGGGGAGTGGGGAGGGGGAGATCAGCCCCCACGTAATGGGGAGTGGGGAGATCAGCCCCCACCTAATGGGGAGTGGGGAGGGGGGGATCAGCCCCCACCTAATGGGGAGGGGGAGATCAGCCCCCACCTAATGGGGAGTGGGGAGGGGGAGATCAGCCCCCACCTAATGGGGAGTGGGGAGTGGGGGATCAGCCCCCACCTAATGGGGAGTGGGGAGATCAGCCCCCACCTAATGGGGAGTGGGGAGGGGGGGATCAGCCCCCACCTAATGGGGAGTGGGGAGGGGGAGATCAGCCCCCACCTAATGGGGAGTGGGGAGGGGGAGATCAGCCCCCACCTAATGGGGAGTGGAGAGGGGGGATCAGCCCCCACATAATGGGGAGTGGGGAGATCAGCCCCCACCTAATGGGGAGTGGGGGGGGTGATCAGCCCCCACCTAGTGGGGAGGGGGAGATCAGCTCCCACCTAATGGGGAGTGGGGAGGGGGACATCAGCCCCCACCTAATGGGGAGTGGGAGATCAGCCCCCGCGTAATGGTGAGTGGGGAGGGGGGCATTAGCCCCCACAATTGTGTCATTCCTCCAACTCACCGAGTTCAAATCCCGATCGAGCGTCGACCCAATGAAGCTAGAATGGGTAACCCACTTTGCGAGAAGTCATGAGTTAACATTCTGTGGAAATATTCACTCCTGACGTAGTAATGCGAAATGTTCACCCCTGGCTCAGTGATGCCAAATGAAGTGAGCACCAACCCCAATTCTCCTTCAAGGTAATATATTGCCATTTCATTTGACGTGTCTTGTTGTTCACCGTTACACAGGCCTCGCTGTTCGTGAAACACATATCGCCGGAAATGCTCAGGGCTAACACACTGACACGAGCCGACGGGATTGTTATACTTTTAATGCATCTATTTTTCTCTTTTGAAACGCGGTCATGGGTAGTCACACCATAATTCCGAGACGCTTGCGGTGAAATCCGTGTTAAATTTGTCTTGGTTAAAATTGAGTAGGAAAATATAATGTACGGCAACAACTACATATACTCCCAAGAAAGAGTTATATATGCATGTTGAACTTCTTTCGCACCATACGTAGCCAACCTATAGTAGGAAGTCACTGGAGCTATGCAATTTAAAATCTGGAATTAAAACTCATTCCTTTACAACTGCTTTTTTGTGTTTAGTTTGTTGTCCTTCCCCTGCACCTCTGATTAGCGCGGTTGCTTACGTACGGTGCGAAAGAAGTTCAACATACACACATACATGCAATGTAATCTGAGGCACGGAGGAAGGACAACAAAGTTAGCCACGTTGCAAGACTGCACATTCAAAACAGTACATACAAGCATGCAGGACACAGACGTTTCCCATGGAGCAGAGTAACGATGCGTGGACACACCGATGGTGACAAGACGGAGGGTGGGTGCATATGGCGCGCAAGCAAAAACACATTCTCCTGCGGAGGGAGCTGGTAGGAACGTTGGGTTGCTCGGTCAATGGCCAGGGTCAATGGCGGCACCACGTGGTGTATTCCGCAAATATGCCCGACTGTGAGGGTGGGCACCGCCCACCCAACCCCACCCTCCCCACCCAGCCCCACCCAGCCCCACCCTCCCCACCCTCCCCACCCAGCCCCACCCAGCTCCACCCAGCCCCACCCTCCCCACCCAGCCCCACCAGCCCCACCCTCCCCACCCAGCCCCACCCTCTCCACCCAGCCCCACCCTCCCCACCCAGCCCCACCCAGCCCCACCCTCCCCACCCAGCCCCACCCAGCCCCACCCTCCCCACCCAGCCCCACCCAGCCCCACCCTCCCCACCCAGCCCCACCCAGCCCCACCCAGCCCCACCCAGATCCACCCTCTCCACCCAGCCCCTCCCCACCCTCCCCTCTCCACCCAGCCCCACCCCTCCCATATTTGGATGCACGACGGACGGACACAATAATCCCCTGTGGGCTGGTGGAACCAGGAGGTTCCTACCAGTACGAGCCCGTACCATCTTCTAGCTTTCCCGTGAAGTCACACCATTGCTTAACACGTAGGCTTTCGCGACCAAAAAAAAACCCTGTCTCATGGATCATAACATTGCATTTGAAATATGTTCCTGACCGTTTACATATTCGTACGAGAGTCGCCCTATGTCACTCACCTGAACAGGAACCTACTTTAACTTGGTTATAAGGCACTGGAGTTTTTATTATTATTATGATCTTTGCTATTATTAACGAGATATCTAAAGGTTGAGGATCGTACATCATTGCTCGTACATACAGTATTGTATATACAATCGGAATAGCATGTGTTCGACAATAACTTAAGCAAACGTTGGGCACATAATATATACATTTTTTTTAAATGCCCGGGAATGTGCAGTTACTGTTCCACAGTTTCAAGTTGTTTGCTGGATGTGACAACGTTTAAAGGAAAGTAATTCTGGAAAGATACTGATACATACACGAAAATAACATCTTCCTCAATTATTACAAAATTAAACAAGTACTGGTGTTTTTTTTTTACACAGTGTGTGTGTGGGGGGTCTGGTCACCAGACCACTAACCCCACAGTGGTTAACGCCCTCCGCTACGAACCCAGCGACCCGAGTTCGATTCCAGCTCACGACCCAAAAAGCAATACATGTGGAAATTATGTGAACTGGTCTTGGGCCTCTCCTAGGTCGACTCAGCCACAAATGAGTACCCAGTGCGTTGTGTAAACATCGCCACTGGGAAGACAAAGGCTGCCGGGTGCAGTGCTGGCCACCCACCCCCTCGTGTGACGATGCTGGCATTCATAGGTGCTCGCCAACAGCGTTTTCCCCAAAAGTCTGTTGAGGCTATACGGGGCATCTTTGTCTTGCCTGGTCACCAAACACGGCATTTTTGAGCTGGGTGCATGTAATCGCCGTGCTTGCACTGAAAGGCATCGGAAAATTCCTGAAAGTTTTGCAAAGTCCCAATGACCCTGGAAAGGCGAGAAAAATCAAATAAAAACACGTACATATATTACAGGAAAAAAAAACAAGCGGCTGCATAGCACACACGTCTATATTTCTGCTTAGGAAGCGACTACTACCATCCCAGGTAAATGCATGGGAAACAAACTGAGTACGTGGCACCATTGTTTATTCAACCGAAGACAAAGGGTCTCATCCAATCACCGGGCACCCCCTTGGGTTTCTGCCGATGAAATATTTAGGATTCGACGCTTCTTTAATCTTCGTTGAGGGTGAATTATTTGGGTTGGGTTTTAGTTTTTGGGCTTTCGGAGCAAGGGATACAATTTAGAATTTGTGGTTTAAAGTTATGGTTTAGGGTTAGGGGGCCGGGGTTAGGGGCAAGTATTACCGAAGACAATTATTCTCGTCACAGGTACGTCAGGTCAAGATAAATGTGACACAGATTTTCATGGCCTGTATCTTTGGGGTCAATAGTTTTGACCTTTCTTTTGTTTTTTCAAATCACAGAATACAGGATAATAGTACACTTTGCAAAGGACTGTACTATCAATACCTTAAAGATACATACACACACTTAGATTGTTTGCTCACCTGAACAAGCCCGGACTGTGGACATCTGCCTTTATCATGCTGCTCGCAAACTCTGGCCGATGTAAACCACACCAAACCTGGGGGCGGTGAGTGAAAGACGAGCAAGCCATTTGTTTGCACACAATTGGTTTATTCATTTCAGCGTAGCTAATTTAATTCATCGATTAGTTTGCTTACTTATGCACCTCTCCTTTTATGCTTTCAAGTGACAACGAGTGTTCACTCGCTGTGGAAGGCTTCTTCTGTGGCCGTCTGGAACGCTCTTACTTCCTACGTTAGATATTAGGAAGCCACTGGAGCAATGCACTTTGAGGTTATCGAAATAGAAACACTCATTCTTTGGGACCGCTTTTGTGTTCAGTTTGTTGTCCTTCCTCCCGCACCTCCGAAGAGAACGGTTCGCTACGTACGGTGCGAAAGAAGTTCAACGTACATATCTGCAGGAACAATGAAGATGCTCCCGGCATGCGGAATTAAACGTCGGACATCGTGCCAGACAACACGCGGTGTGACCCGGAAGCACATCGTAGAGAGCAAGCACGAGAAGCAGCGGCGTCACCAACTGCACCACAGTATTGCCATCTCTGTCTCAACAATTGTTTTGTTCGTACATTCAGTAAGCCACTGTAACTTATTGGAATTACTTACGTTATTACAATTTTTACTTTAAGAGTGGTCGTGAATGAAAACGCGCAACACGAGCGTAAAAACATGATGATGATGATAATAATGCCAATAATAAATTCAACTTGTGGCGCACTGCACAGTGTCCGCTCGCTCTCGAAGCGAAAGAGAAAGACTCGGAAGCGAGAGAAGGAACCAGGAACAAGCTGGAAGGCAACGGCCAGGTTGTGCTGCCAACAATTTCCTAAGCTCTGCAACCCCCTATATATATTCACGCGTTATCGGCCAGTCAATGAGCGTTCACACATCTGGGAGGAAGCTTCAGTTCCCGGAGAAAACCGACGCAATACTCTCTCCCATACGAATAGAACAGATGGAGATTATCTCCACATATGCAAACAATAAGCAGACAAAAAATATATAACGATAAGCAAGTAACTGAGAGGTCGAAGTCCACTACATTACATAAGCCTGTTTTTCAAAGAGAAACTCGATCAACATTATATTGCTTGAACTCTTTCGAGCGGCTGTCAGAACATCCTCTATGCATACACACGTTTAACCAACAAAATCAGTTACGTGTAAAACATAAGAATCAGCAAAATGATACGCCTCCATTACACATCTGTCCCTCCATGTAATAAATACAAACGTCGGCCACACGGCCTTCTGAGATTGTATAATTCCTGTAACATTCGCTGCCACTCTGATATTTTTCTTAAAACACAACCATATACTTCATACATATTTTTGAGTGTCAAGAATTTGTAAGTGGACATTTTAGCCACGCTTTAATGAGCACCTATTTTCGAATCGACTCTGGACATCTTTACCACCGTGCTCCTCCACTGAGTGTGACGGGAGTTGGTGGTGGTGGTGGGGGTGGTGGTGGAACGGCTGCTAAACGCAGCCTGGGAGGATGAATGCACGGCGACGGCTCCGAGCTTCGTCTGCGGCAAAGATTTTGCACGCGGATTCGTTCGCAATTGTGTTTTGATGGGTGGACACAACGGTGGATACAACTGTGGGCACAACATCTGTGGACGCAGCGGAGGACGTGAGGCGTTCAGAGCGGACGTTTAGTCGCGAATGTGGTGGCGAGGTGTGAACTACAGTACCTCGCCTGGTATACAGGAGGCCGTGGCTTCGATCCCAACCCTGACGCCTGCTGCTGTATATTTGGAGTTTGCGTGTCTCTCTCCCCGTGGTCGTGTGAATTTTTTCTCCGGGTCCTCCAGTTTTTCCCTCCACATTGATAAGCATGAGTTTTAGAGTAATTTTGCTGCTGCAATACATTTTCAGATGACGATAAGCCACTTCGCTGTGCTATCATTTGTGGCCAGGTCGTTTCGAGAAAAATAGCTATTTAGCTCAGTGGGCCTTACCTGGTAAGAAAATGAGAAAGTAAAATAGATTAAAATAAGTAAATTAAAATGTGCCTTTCATTTTTTCTGAGGAAGATCGTGACTCAGTTTTAATGCCTTGAAACCCAAATTGTCAGGTCACATGCCCTCTACTGGCCAGTGCAGTTCACGCTGTTGTTTTGTCTCTACTTGAACGGCGCTTTGAGTTAATCAGCACGACGCTGCGATAAGAAAAAAAACAGCTGCTGTGTAAAAATAAATGGGTTTTGAGGCCCAGGAAGCAAGGTTAATGGTAGAAAATAGGTGATTGAAAAAGTGGCGGTCAAGGTTAGGGTTATTATCATTATTCTCAGCAATTATGTGGGCGCAGGGTTGAGCAATGGTAATGCTTACGCCTCACAGCAAGGGCCTGGGATGGAATCCTGACTCAGGAAACCTCTCTGTGTGGAGTTTGGTTGTTCTCTCCCCCTGTATGGCATGGGTTTTCCCTGGGTTCTCTAGTTCCCTTCCATTGTTTAAAACAAATGAACATAGGTATAATGTAATTGGAATTGGACAAACATCCCAGTGCGAATAAAAAAAAAATATTACATTCAAGTGACTCAAATTGGGATTTACACATATCAACATCGCCCTGTACTGAGAAAACCTTCACAATACCCTCCTGGAAAGGAGTCTTTGAACTTGGAGAGGCTTTTCCTGAGTAAGCAAGTGTAGTAATAATAACAATAATGAGTAAATTTGGTATCCACACACGTTGCATGCGCGATTATTAATATACTCTACTGGTAGGGACAATGTTGCTGCAAAGATGTCGCGACAACAAGGTAATACCCATCGCTTTCACACTCACATCTGCTGCTGTATCCTCACCGAATTCTAAACAGATTATGTTTAAGGCCAGCCTATCTTTAATCTCAGAGAGGATAAGACTACTCCGTTTTGAACTCGACACTTTAGACAGGACTCTCCTACAAGCTCATTTAACGCTAACACAAAAAATGTCACCTTCTGATTGGAACCACGTAGACAACATGACTGCTTCTTCTGCCGATTCACTTTCAGTCAAATACAAAGCTAACCTGATTTCTAAATTCAACCACCTATCGAAGAAGAACCCAGTCCCACATATAACAAAACTAGACGTTAACAAAATCGTCATTAATCAGAGTAGCACCCCGATTTCGGACAATCTGAAAACAGTACTGGCTAGAGGGCTAAATTTTGCTGTCACCCCGAAACATATTCCTGTAGATGATATCATCTCTCAGGTCGATGTGGCCCTTAAAGGCATAGGACACATCCAAGCAGACGTTGCGAGAGCTGAAATAGCCACTATTCTTAAGAATGCTAAGAATCCCATTAGCAACATCAGCAAAAATGAACGCTCTGAACTCGCGAATTTAAAAAACAGAAGTGATATAGTCATCCTTTCAGCCGACAGAGGCAACGCTACTGTAATTATGGATAAAGATTCGTACAACAACAAAATCCAGAACCTACTCAACGATGGAAGTTACTCAAAAATTAAAAATGACCCTACTAATAGCCTAACTATAAAAACCAACAAGATCATCACAAGTTCGACCTCCCTAATTGAACCAACTAAACGTCCCTCCTTAAAACCGTCTGCTGCAAGACCCCCTAGATTCTATGGTCTCCCCAAGATTCATAAAGAAGGCACTCCACTACGACCCATCGTATCCACGATCAACTCCCCTACCTATAAGCTAGCCCGTTTTCTGTCAGATACCTTGCTACCTTTCACTGGCAAGGCCTCCTCAGCAGTACTTAACTCAGCTCATTTGGTCTCTATGGTCAAAGATGTTGCACTGTCCCCTGACGATATCCTTGTCAGCTTCGATTTGGTCTCCCTGTTCACCAAGGTCCCGGTACCTGACACCATTGAAATCATATTCTTAGTTTTTTCGGTAAAGTCACGTTGAAGAGAAACAACAAAATAACAAAATATATGAATTACTGCAGTCACGAAAGCTTTAAATCAAAACCATTGAAATCATTGAAAATTTGGTACAACATGGACTAGACCCCGATACACCTGCGCTGATTAGACACTGCCTCACCAATACCTACTTTACTTGGAATGGCACCTTCTACAAACAAAATGAGGGTACCCCCATGGGTTCTTCCTTATCACCAGTGATAGCCAATGTTTTCATGGAGAAATCTGAATCAGACGCCATCCAGACTTCCACCCTCAGACCTTCCCTGTGGAAGAGATATGTGGATGACACTTTCATCATTTGGCCACATGGCCTCCCAGCTTTGAACCTTTTCCTACACCACATCAATTCTAGACATCCCGCCATGGGGCATTCTGTCTACAGGAAACCCACCCACACAGATTCCTACTTGAAACCTGATTCTCACCACCACCCAGCTCAAAATAATTCTCTCATCAAAACGTTATACCACAGGGCACATTGCATTTCGGACCAACACCACCTGACCAGTGAATTAAAACATGTACACCTGGCCCTCAAGAGAAATGGATACTCTGACCGTACCATCCGCCAAGCTGTTTCTCCCTCCATACAGAAACAACCACTTGATACTCCAGTCAAAACCATCACACTACCATATATAGCAGGCGTTACTAAAAAGATCTCCAAAATTCTAAACAAACACAAGATCCTGGTCCGGTTCAATACAGTACACAAGATCCGTGACCTGATCCCATCCGTGAAGGGTGTCGTTCCTGACTTACAGTTCCCCGGGGTTTACAAATTGAGCTGCACCTGTGGTGACTGCTATATCGGGGAGACGAAACGACATGTCTCTGACCGAATTCGCGAGCACAAATCCGATTTAAAACACGACAGAACGATTTATTCTGCCGTAGCTGATCACTGTTACAACGCTGTGGGTGATCGCGATATAGTTTTCTCCGATACCAAGGTTCTCTGCAAACCCACGGGTTTTTATCAGAGATTTGTCCACGAGGCAATTCAGATTTACAAACACAGACCCAGTTTCAACCGAGTGGATGGTTTGAAATAAAGCAATCATTGGAAAGATGTTCTAAATCAAACCAAACATTAAACTAATTTTCAATGGTACAGTATATTTATTCAAGTAGTGGTATTCCAAACTTTCACAGCAGCTTATTTCCCTTCACACCAACATGATGTAAACTCCCCCCCCCCCCACCGTGCCAGTCCAGTACATATTTTTATGCTAATTCCTTTGTCAAGGGGTTTTTTTGTTTCCTCCCACACAGCTTAAAGGACGCGACCTGGGCTTGCTGTCTTCACTCCAACGCTGTCCTCTGGACAGTCCAGTCCCTTCACCTGATGAAGGCCACTTGTGTTGTGGCCGAAACGTCGTGATTTTTTGTTATTTTATTTTTACCTACGTGACTTTACCAAATAGAACCAAAGAGAATGTGGTTTTACCCGATCTTTTTACAACTCCGCAATGTTTTACCGTAAACTCTGCCACATGTACGTACGTGTGTTGAATTTCGTTCGCATCGTATGTAACCAACCGTAATAAATGGAGGTGCCTTCATCTCATTAGATGAGATTGGAGGAAGGAGCGACCGAGCTACAAATGATAGCTCAACCGGAGGACCCGGATAAAAATCCACACTACCATGGGGAGAACACGAAAACTCCAAATATACAGCAGCCGTCAGGGTCGGGATCAAACCCACGACATCCTGTATACCAGGCAAGGTAATTATGACTGCTGATTCCTCTAATACTGCACTCGGCGCTATCGCACGCAGGGCCACAGACAAATCTACAAGACGCTCCATCTAGAGAGGCGGCGAGCCCCTCCTGCGTACGAGCCCCGGGGCACGTTTGCGTACCTGGGCGAAGTTGAGGAAGAAGAGCTGCTTGTGATTCAGCGCGAGGCCGGGGAGGCGCGCCTCTTCCCCGTGCTCCTCGACCCAGCGTCTGTATGCCTGCGACACAGGAGCAGCCGACAAACACAAAGACAAACATCCCCCCCCCCCCCGTATAGCGTTAACAGACCGTTGGGGCAAGTGCTGTTAGTGAGTAGCACTCATGAAGGCACACGATGGGGTGGATGGCCAGCACCACGCACGGTCGACTTTTGTCACCCCAGTGGCGATGTTTACACACCACACCAGGAATTCAATTGAGGCTGAGTCGACCTAGGGGAGGCCCAGGACCGGTTCAGAAAATCGTCACTGGTGTTGGCCGTGAGCGGGAATTGAACCCGTGTCGCCAGGTTCGTATCGCAGCGCGCTAACCGCTACACTACCGCACACACACACGCACACACGTACACACACACACGTACACACACACACACGGACACACACACACGTACACACACACACACACGCGCGCTGTACCTGTACACATTACACCTGCCGGCAGTCTTAATGAGTGGTGCTCATCGACTGAGCACAGCCCTGCCAAACCAGCGGTGGAAAATTCCACATTCCTATGGTGGGAGTGAGTTCATCCATAGGACAACCACTGTTGACTTATGTGCAAAGTGGTACTAATTTTATTGATCCTAGAATGATGATGGGCCAAGTTCAACCCCCAAACTGGGAATTATGAATTCACTCTACCATTGGGCAACTTCATTAGCCTTTGTAAGTGTTTAGACAGAGCATTTTGAGATGGCGCTGTATGAAGATAATATATACGTCAAAATCATAATTGTACGTGCATACGAGTGATGTGCATGCACACTGCTCCACGGAAGCGGTGGCATTGAGCACACTCCACACCGCGATCGTCTAAATCACGCCCGCTCAACAATGCGTCGAGATTATCCGCGACATCGGACGCCGTACAACCTGAGCATGTTGATGACCATTTGCATTTTTTAAAGGTGCATTTATAATTCGCGAGGCAGGGAACTCAGTATATGCCATAAAGCATGATGATCATTATCCAAGTCGGAATACTCCCTCCACAGGAGAACTGCCTGAGCTGACTCCCCCCCTCCACCGCCTGGGTACAGCTGCGCCAGCTCTTACATTTTTTATTCTAACCACTCATTTCCTTCCACGGCATCATTTAAATTAATGATCGGTCTACTGACAGCGCGAAGGAATGTCTCTCATTACCCAGTAGGCTTGGCGAACGCCGCCGTTGTCAGCAATGTTTTCGCCCAGGGTCTTCACTCCGCTGATCTGGAGGAGTCAAACGCACGCGCATTCCGTATACCACACACGCGCGCGTACACACACACACACAAAGACAAAGATCCCGCCTCCCAACCACCCACCCACCCACCCCTGTATAGCCTTAACAGACTGTCTGGGCAAGTGCTGTTTTCGAGCGCCTATTAAAGGCAGTACGGCACACGACGGCTGGCGAGCACCACGCCCAGCCGCCTTTGTCTCCCGAGTGGCGATGTTTACTACACACTGCACCAGGTACTCATTTGACGCGGAGTCGACCTATGCTGTTGGCCGTGAGCGGGAATCGAATTCGTGTTGCCGGGTTCGTAGTGCAGTGCGCTAACCGCTACACTACAACAACAACTGCCATTCGCCACTAAGTGGCGGCGACGTCACCACGGTGCTTGTGCCAGGCTATGTGCACTTAAATGCCACGTGAAGTGTTGAATGCCCGCTGGAAGGAGGTCACGCCACAAACCCAGGTGTCCATGGGTCGACTGACTGAGATGACTGGCAGATGCACCGCCTGTGCCCCCTACCGTGCCAACTTGCCACGAAAACGCACAAGCGACAAGAACATCGTGCGGGAAAGGGACCAGGAAGACACGTGCCGCGAGCGTGCACTTCACTTCGAGAGGAACGCAAGTCAAGTACGACGTGGTGGCCGCGCAAATCACGACACAGATGTACCACGCAGAGGTTGTGCGGCGTTTAGTGCGCGCTCTTCACAGCAACAGCGGCAGCCACCACCACAACCGTACCGGCAGAGTGCATCGGCGTGGATGTTAATTATCATTTGAAGCATCCGCGCGGGCTCTCACCCGTGGCTTCAGTGGGACAAATAGCGGAGCTGAAGATCCAACACGTAGCGTAGCAGCAGTCGCCTCTCGGCAACGAAGCATCCAGACATGCCAGGGACGCCGGCCGATGGAACGAATTCAATGCCTGGTCAAGGGTCATGGCGCAGCCCCGCGACCGCTCGCTTGCACCCCACTGCTGCCAGAAGGTGCCCTCGACGACCCAGCGGCCCTCGGGGAAGCCAATGACGTTGCGGTGATTTGGCCTACTCTTCCACGATGGCCGGACGTCTTGGAAGAGAAGGGACTATACCCCCCCCCACCACACACACTTCACTCTGCGGCACGTGACTTGTCGATTGTGTAAACCGCCGCACCAGGAGACCGATTCGGACCGGCAAAGACCGCTGGATTGCAAGGCCAGTTTTTAAACCATTAACACCACAGCAGAGACATTTGAATATTTGACAACATTTTGCCAACATGATCATTAATGGAAGGTCATTTTTTTTCCACGGAAGATGTTACGTTAACGTTATTTGACTTCAAAATAGCCGCAAAAAAATCACTTTAACATTCACAAGTCGAAGAACCAGACTGACAGTCACCGATGTTTACATTAACAGGCGAGAGACGGTTAATAACTGGGACTTTCCTGCTTTATACATATAAATATTAATTTTTTATCCTCGTGAATTAAAATAAGCGTCAGCCCACGCAGGGCACGCTTGCCACAGTGCATGCGTGAATGCATTATTCAGTGTTTTAAAGTGACAATATTTTCTTACAAATGAAGTAGAGTACAGCATAAACAAAACACTCAAACTGATAATTGGCAGTCATCCAAGTGAAAACGACGACAAACATTCTGTTCCTGTGAAGTTTAAACAGGATGAGCACTGCATGTGAATACCTTCAGAGGATCAAGTCCTCCTCGTCATCAGCCATGGTCAATCCACTGCTGGATTAACGCCTCCGCCGAGAAAACGGAATTTGTTTAATTTAAGTCTGCGTGGGTTGTGGTTAAAATAGACGCGAAACTGTGTAAACACATGCTCGGAAGCATGTGTAAGAACACAGTGGGGCTGTGAGCAGGGTTGCCACCTGTTCTGGGTTTCCCAGTATCATCTAGTGCAGAAAGCGATGACGATGAAGCATTTCAGCCTCTACAGCTGGTCTCTATGCGAGTCGATGGTTCTGTGTGTGAGACTACACCACCACGACCATAAGTACACCACCACTTTCAATAACCAAACTCATTATCTTAACACACTATTTGACGTACACTGTTACACGTGCTGTAAAGCGGGACCAAGTTTCAAGTTGACGTTGTTTGTTTTTGTGTTACTACCAGGCGACAAGTCAAGAGACCAGCAATGAGTCTCGTTTGCGCGCGTGACCTGGGTCACCGCATTTCCCAAGCGACTGTCATTCTTTCCGGGTCCACTGACATCCCCTTCTGCCCCACGCCGGTTGTGTAAACGCGGCGAGACACCCCGTGACGTGACGCGTCCTTAACGTGACGTTTCAGAGCGGTGACCGCATCGGAATAAATAATTCGAAACGACGTTTAGACGATTCGCTCAGAGTTTGCTCACGTTTACTGGAATCGTATTCGCACATTACGCTGTTTTAACGTTTTCAGAAAACGTACTTTAATGGCACCGTACTCGAGAAACAACACAATAAAGAGACCCCCCCCCCCCCCGCCTTACAAAATCATACCAAGCTTACTTAGAGATAAATTACATTCAGTTGTTTAACAAACATCACCTCACTATACAGGGTAAAGGTGAAGCCCTGCAATTACTTTCTCCTCGCACCACTACTGGCGAAAGCTTCCCCGCCCCCCCCCGCCCGCTAGAACGAGCTCATCACAGCTCCTCTAGAGGGCGTTTGGCCTACTCTTCCACCTTGGCCAGACGTGCCGGAAGATGAGGGAAAGTCTGTCCATGGCAAACAATTTTTGTTTCCAAATATAGCCGACTTTAGCGATTCTTTTACCCAACAGTGTTTGAAATAACCTGAAGACCGAGCTAGATTTAGCAAATATAGCTTCCAGCTTACAATCTACAATGCATTCTGCTGGCTTGATGTCGAACACGAGCTGAACACGGCAACGCTGGACCCGACTCGCGTTTGTGGGGTTTTGGTTCTCGTAAGTGGCGGTAGCCTGGATTCAGCAGCTTATTCAATCCGCAATTCGAACCAACGGACAAAACACTGCACCTTTATGCGTTCATGATTACAGCTCGTTTCAGAGATGTCCAATTGTGTTGTTGTTGGTGGGGGGGAGGGGCAAAAATAAATCAACGTATCAAAAGGTTATTGCCTTCACATTATCTCATAATGTGAAGACACCCAAATGACATTCCTATCGGTGAACGTGTTTTCCACGTGTGCCTTAACTATAAGCAAAGCCTCAAGTGGGGCCATGGGCAGGTCACATCACTGGTAGGAATGAACGAGACCGGTGAATGAATTGCAGACAAATGAGAGAACGCACCCGGTAGTACGTATGTTGAACTTTTGTCACACCGCGCATACCCAACCGCGCTAGTCGGAGGTGCAGAGGATGACGATTGCGGAAATGTAGCGATGAGATAAGACGTGGGGCAGAAGCGTACTGGATGGTGATGATGTGGGGGTGATGATGTGGGGGGATGACTTCCTCCGGCAGTGGATGGATCATTGCTGCTGATGATTTTTTTAAAGTTCCCTGCAAAGACTCGATTGGTTCCCCACAGAGATCCCAGATGTTTCTTCGTTTTCTAAATCTATCCCAAGGTAAAACTATTCAACCATATTTTTTTTACATAGGTCAAAGGTCATATATCATTCGTTGCTCGTCATTAAAAATCGCAGCTCCTTGGTTCCTTACAGGGAGAACGACTTTAATCAACTCTGTTAAAATAACTCAAGCGCTGTGATTGATAAACTGACTCACAGATGGGGATTTTTTTTTGTTCTATCACGTACATAAATCGTGTGGATGCTTCTTTTTATTCTGCTCACTCTCAATCCCAAAATAACCTCCGCCAAAAAATGTACAAATCCGCAGACCGACGTCTTTCAATATAAAAACATTAAATTGCTCAATTTGTCTCAGATTTTAACCTTCATGCTGGTCTCATGCATTTTCAAGCGTTTCACTTTCATCAAAACTGCCAATAAAGAGTGGTGCCACATTCACTCCGAACTGAAGGCAAGCACAGTCATATATATAGTCTGTTAAATTCACATCACTTCAACATAGCCTCACTTCCCCCACTGCACTTCAAGCTGGATGACACACACACATAGAGTTCAGAGACCCGATTCATGAAATAAGGACGATGTGTGAAGCGCATACTCAGATGCCGAATTAAACTTCAAAGCATCCCGTGCAATCTTTCGCAATCCTCCCAACAAGATGCGGCCTTTTTTTGGCTCCTGCGTGCGGACCATCAATCTGGAAGAGTTCTAGCATTCGTAAGCGTTTGAAATTGAGATGTATACTTTGCTTTACCAGGTGGGAGAGTTCAAGAGACTAGGAGGCCCTCATTTGCAAGCGTGACCTGGGGCATAAAGTCTGCCAGCAGGGGGCGATGATTGCTGTGCACAGTCACGGGTGAGTAAATTTGCGGTGCAATTTTTTTAATTTTGGCAAATTTAGATTTTGACGCCGACACACAATGGCCTACTCTTGCAAATGACGACATGGGGGGGTGATCTTTGACGTCCACAGTGAAGCAGACGCCCCATAGCGTTGTTATTATTATTATTACATATTACATATTACAGGTAACAGTATTAACCAGGGCGGCCGTTAGTTTCACACAAGCGAACCTCTGCAACGAGCGGCCGATCGCCGCCGCCGCTGAGCCGCGTCACGCGTGTCCGCGTGGTGCAACGTTCCTTTTTGCGAGATCAACCGTCGTGAAAGCTTTTAAAAAACAGCGGCCGTGTGGGAGTTCTGTGCTCCCGTTTGTGCTCCGGCCACTCAGAGCCGATTTGCAGCACGTGATTACCCACCGCGTTGAGACACCGTGTGAGTGAAACACTGCCCCTTGTTGAATGCGCGAAGCTTCCAAAGCGGTGAAAGGAAAAAGCCACCGCGGTTCATGTTACTGCGCCTGACGCACGCCAGTGAAACGGTGATTATAATTCAAAAAGCCAATGGTGTTTAGTAACTGCAGAACTCAACTCTCCCCCACCGCACCAATTTAAAAGCACCATATATGTTACACGCGTAGTGTTTGCTTTTTATAATACACCTGGCAGAAACTGCTGCAACCACAAGGAAAGTATATATCTATAGTAGCTTGTTGATTCCATTCCACCCGTCTTGAGGAGTTGGTCTGCCAGGCTGATTGTTTTGTCTCATCCATACTGTGCTTAGCCACCACCACACTGCAGGTCACTACAACACACACACTCACCTCACTCACCCACCCAATCATTCACTCACTCACCCACCCAATCATTCACTCACTCACCCACCCAATCATTCACTCACCCACCCAATCATTCACTTACTCACTTGCTCACACGCCAACCCAACCATTTACTCACTCACCCAATCATTCACTCACTCACCCACCCACCCAATCATTCACTCACCCACCCAACCATTTACTCACTCCCCCACCCAAATAATCACTCACTCACCCATCCAACCATTCACTCACTCACCCACCATACCATTCACTCACTCACTAACCCACCCAAGCATTCACTCACTCACCCACTCAGCCATTCACTCACTCACTAACCCAACAAACCATTCACTCACCCACCCAACCACTCACTCATCCAATCATTCACTCACCCACCCAATCATTAACTCACTCACCCAACCAATCATTGACTCAATCACCCATCCAACTATTCACTCACTCACCCACCCACCCACCCATTCACTCACTCACTCACCCAATCATTCACTCACTCTCTCACCCAATCGATCAATCACACACTCGCTCGCTCACCCACCCACTCTTCACGCTGAAGGTCCATATACTCCTCTTTCCCCGCACCACCTGAATGAGAAATTCCCTCCCATCATCGTCTCTCATTTCCCCCACAATACATAATATAACCTCGCTCGAATCAAGAAAAGTGTATCTACTGCACGTTCATTCGTGCTGTTTGTTGCCGACCATTTGGCACTGTGGGCCTCCGGGTCTCTGCTCAGCAACTGAAATGTCAACGAAACAACGACGCGGTGAACTGGAAGACGCGAGCGTGCAACTGCCAGGTCCAGGTGGCGGGCGCCTCACTTACATTTTGTCCAGAAGCCAGGTCCCACGTGTAGCTGCTGTACTGACTGACCAGACACCTGGATCTCGAGTCAAAGTCCTCATCAGACTCGGCGGTCCACCAGTCTACGAGGTTGCCCTCCTTGTTGAACTTACGGCCTGGCGAAGGCATCGCAGAAACCGCGCGCCGTCAGACGAGAAGTCAAAGTTACGCAAGTGGTGACGGTGAAATCTATCTGGAACCATCGATTGCAATAAGTTCTCATGCTCACGATAAACGTATCGAATTGTGCGTGATAACGGATTCAAGCTGAACTATCCGATTGTTTGAGTAATCGATTACCCTGCGAATAAGATTATGTTCGCAAAAATCTCCGAACCCATTTGGAGAGGAGGTGATGGGCAGGGCTCAGTGCCTTCATCGGTCACGCCACGCTGGGCAGGGCTTGTCATGGGGCTTTCCTGCCTTTGGGAGGCAGGATTTTGAGGTTACGGCCATTTTATTAATAGGCCCGAGTGTTCAACCACAAACGAGGAGACGATCACAACTTTAAAGAATTAGAACTCTGATTTTGTCGTCTTGAGTTTTTGTGTTTTGTGTTTTTTCTCCCTCACGATATTACAGTCATGTCCTTGAACACGTTGTGTCACGTCACGTGGTGAACGCATTGTGTCACGTCACGAGGTGAACACATTGTGTCACGTCACCAGGTGAGCACATTGTGTCACGTCACTAGATTAACACATTGTGTCACGTCACGTGGTGAACACATTGTGTCACGTCACGTGGTGAACGCATTGTGTCACGTCACGTGGTGAACACATTGTGTCACGTCACCAGGTGAGCACATTGTGTCACGTCACTAGATTAACACATTGTGTCACGTCACGTGGTGAACACATTGTGTCACGTCACGTGGTGAACACATTGTGTCGCGTCACGTGGTGAACGCATTGTGTCACGTCACGAGGTGAACACATTGTGTCACGTCACCAGGTGAGCACATTGTGTCACGTCACTAGATTAACACATTGTGTCACGTCACGTGGTGAACACATTGTGTCACGTCACGTGGTGAACACATTGTGTCACGTCACGAGGTGAACACATTGTGTCACGTCACGTGGTGAACACATTTGTGTCACGTCACGTGGTGAACACATTGTGTCACGTCACCAGGTGAACACATTTGTGTCACGTCACGTGGTGAACACATTGTGTCACGTCACGTGGTGAACACATTGTGTCACGTCACGAGGTGAACACATTGCGTCACGTCACGAGGTGAACACATTGTGTCACGTCACCAGGTGAAGACATTGTGTCACGTCACCAGGTGAACACATTGTGTCACGTCACCAGGTGAACACATTGTGGCACGTCACCAGGTGACGACATTCTGTCACGGCACCAGGTGAAGACATTCTGTCACGTCACGAGGTGAACACATTGTGTCACGTCACGAGGTGAACGCATTGTGTCACGTCACCAGGTGAACACATTGTGTCACGTCACGTGGTGAACACATTGTGTAACGTCGCGTGGTGAACACATTGTGTCACGTCACCAGGTGAACACATTGTGTCACGTCAAGTGGTGAACACATTGTGTAACGTCACGTGGTGAACACATTGTGTCACGTCACTAGATTAACACATTGTGTCACGTCACCAGGTGAACACATTGTGTCACGTCATGTGGTGAATACATTGCGTCACGTCACGTGGTGAACGCATTGTGTCACGTCACGAGGTGAACACATTGTGTAACGTCACCAGGTGAACACATTGTGTAACGTCACCAGGTGAACACATTGTGTCACATCACGAGGTGAACGCATTGTGTCACGTCACCAGGTGAGCACATTGTGTCACGTCACTAGATTAACACATTGTGTCACGTCACGTGGTGAACACATTGTGTCACGTCACGTGGTGAACACATTGTGTCACGTCACGAGGTGAACACATTGTGTCACGTCACGTGGTGAACACATTTGTGTCACGTCACGTGGTGAACACATTGTGTCACGTCACCAGGTGAACACATTTGTGTCACGTCACGTGGTGAACACATTGTGTCACGTCACGTGGTGAACACATTGTGTCACGTCACGAGGTGAACACATTGCGTCACGTCACGAGGTGAACACATTGTGTCACGTCACCAGGTGAAGACATTGTGTCACGTCACCAGGTGAACACATTGTGTCACGTCACCAGGTGAACACATTGTGGCACGTCACCAGGTGACGACATTCTGTCACGGCACCAGGTGAAGACATTCTGTCACGTCACGAGGTGAACACATTGTGTCACGTCACGAGGTGAACGCATTGTGTCACGTCACCAGGTGAACACATTGTGTCACGTCACGTGGTGAACACATTGTGTAACGTCGCGTGGTGAACACATTGTGTCACGTCACCAGGTGAACACATTGTGTCACGTCAAGTGGTGAACACATTGTGTAACGTCACGTGGTGAACACATTGTGTCACGTCACTAGATTAACACATTGTGTCACGTCACCAGGTGAACACATTGTGTCACGTCATGTGGTGAATACATTGCGTCACGTCACGTGGTGAACGCATTGTGTCACGTCACGAGGTGAACACATTGTGTAACGTCACCAGGTGAACACATTGTGTAACGTCACCAGGTGAACACATTGTGTCACATCACGAGGTGAACGCATTGTGTCACGTCACCAGGTGAACACATTGTGTCACGTCACGTGGTGAACACATTGTGTAACGTCACGTGGTGAACACATTGTGTCACGTCACTAGATTAACACATTGTGTCACGTCACCAGGTGAACACATTGTGTCACGTCATGTGGTGAACACATTGCGTCACGTCACGTGGTGAACGCATTGTGTCACGTCACGAGGTGAACACATTGTGTAACGTCACCAGGTGAACACATTGTGTCACGTCACCAGGTGAACACATTGTGTCACGTCACGTGGTGAACGCATTGTGTCACGTCACGTGGTGAACGCATTGTGTCACGTCACCAGGTGAACACATTGTGTCACGTCACGTGGTGAACACATTGCGTCACGTCACAGCAGAAGCAGTGCACCACCTTGCATCGGTTAAAAAACGGCCCAGGAAGACGGCGTCAGAGACCCACTTTTTTTCGTACGTTTGCACCGTGGAATCTTACCGAAGTTGTCAAAGCCGTGGGTTATCTCGTGCCCGATGACCATGCCGATGCCTCCAAAGTTCAAGGACATGGCCTGGCCCAGGCCGAAGAAGGGCGGCTGCAGGATCCCTGCCGGGAACACTGGGTTGGCGGGGAGTGAATTGAAACGCATTCAACAAGAAGTAACAATTACATTTACTGGTAGAAACCATGCCAGGATAGCACTGCAGCCTCCACCTGTCCGATGTTTCGCTAACAATACACGTAGTATACTGCGACTGCTTGCTCACGCCACTGCTGACAAAAAAGGCTGGCAGTGGATCATGCTTCCACGCTGGTCACACATCTTTGGAAGAGAATCTCATTGTACAATGGTTGCAAAGGTAGCACTGTTTGCATTTGATTTGGTGAAATATGCGTGGCTGTTATAGATTTTCAATGAAAGCCTTAGAATGTTTTTTTTTTTGTCCAAACATATGTACGTCACGAACCACGAGAAGTTCCACATGGCCATTACTCATTGTGGGACACAATGTACAAAACACATTCCCAGTATGGGCTATCTTAACTACATTCGACAGCCCTTTCATACATGTGTTTGACCTCGCTTGTATCATTTTCTATTAAAAAGAGACATTAAACATTTTCACATTTTCCCCGCAAAAATAAACACTTGATGATGCATCCCCCCCACCCCCGTCCACCGCCACCGCTTAATGACTGTGAGCAGGTCTGTAATAATTTCCTGGGTCACTGTCACATTTCACATTCAGAAAGACAGGGTCAAGTTGACCCAGCAATATCATTTGTGCACATTCGATCAACTCCAGCCAAGGTGGTTGTTTTTGCTAGTGAAACCACATACGCTCTAGATTTGCGTCACTAATGAGCAATGTGATTAATTAAATGAGATGCACTCCTGGATGCCGCTTGCATCAATCACACTGCTTGTAGCCAACATTAATTGGTGCGTGCAGCGAATAGGAATTTTGCTTCTATGCCTACTAAGTGCGCTTCTGGTAAATAATAGATTTGCACGATCATTTGCTCTGAAAATGCATTACCGATCTGGTTTTTGCTCGGGTGGTAGAAGGCATTTATTGTTGCAGGGCCAATGTCCCACCTAAAATAAGAAACATACATACGTTCATATGAACGCAATTCCTGTGAAAACGGACAACACAATATTTCATGGAAAAATCATACAATCACGATCAAAGTGATTTTCTAAACCATAAAACCATCATGATGATGACGATAATGGAGATTCATAAACTCATCATCGTGATGTTAAAACAAAAAGATGATGATACATGTTTAGTGTCATTTGTCCTTTTGCAATTTATGCAACAATCATCAATATATATTTTGTATTTACATATGTTTAGCTTCTTTCGCACCGTGCGAATCCAACCATGTTAATATTTAATGCGTCAAAGACCGAATATATTGCACGTGGATGAGGGGGGGGAACAAACACAACTCAGGTATTTATTGTGATTAACCGATGCAGTCTTAATCAATGTGGGATATGTAGGCTTGGGCTGGGCACATGGATGGACGGAATGGTGACTGATGGACGAGAGATGAGCGCGGGCATGCAGAGGCCTTTATTCAGCAGTGAATAAACAATGTGATTATGTTGGTGATAATGACATTAAACAACAGTGAAGATTAAATATTGCCAAGCAAAACGTAAACAATGTTGGATTCCTGTTACGTGTCCATAGCCATGAAAATGTATTCATCACAGACTTTGAAAAAATTTTGTTTACGCTAATATTCATTCATAAATGATTTACCAAGGCAAGATGAATCTGCAATTAGCCTCCATCAATCACCGCATTCAAACCTTACTCTTGCTTGCTGGTTGTTCGTCGGAGCCTTTTTAATTCGTTTTTCACTGCGAATTCTAAATCTTGAAGGGTGTTTTCAAAATAAACGTCTTCCTCGTAGTTCAACTTAAAAAGCACATAAATAAAACAAACACAGGGCCATGTAGGTTACGAAGGTAGCCCTGGGTCACGCCACCACTGCACATGGCGGACAACAGGGGGTGGGCGCAACAACACAAATCAACGGTTGTACTCTACTTCCATGCTGCAGCACCCGTCCTCTCGGCCCCGGCCAGCGAAGCGGAATAACGCGCGCACGCGGCCCGCACGGAATGGTGGAGGCCACTCATTCAGCAGTGGAGTGACAAGAGCGATGCACACGTACGTGCGTGCATTGAACGTGATATCGACCGTACACATACGTGTCCGCTTTCACGTTCACAATTAATATTAACGTTCACAATTAATATTAACAGTAGCCATCGTTGGCCACTAAGTGGCAGTGACGTCTGCTATGCTCGACACACGGGGCCCGCGTGAAGTGCCGAAGGCTCGCTGGGCACGGGAGGTCACAGGGCAGACCCAGGTGTTGAGGGCCAGTCGAATGGAATGACTTGTAGATGCACCACCAGTGCTCCCCACTGTCCACCCATATTTACCAAGGCCTATGCTTGTTAAAAATAAAAGATTCTCACAAATGACCCAATGTCTCTCTTGCTAAAGAGACGTGTGGGCTCTTAACTGGCAACGTTATTGAGTCGAGCGCACAACGGGGGGTGAGAGTTACTTACGTCTGCGTACTCTTCATCAAGCCGGGGGTTATTTCCGTCCACAATGTAATCCGCGTAACCCATCTGAGTGGTGATGGCCAACGCCTGTGAACGAAAGTCAGGGTGAAAAAAAAAAATAACAACGGCCTATTGGCTACACTTTGACCATGGGCATCGGCCATGCTCTATTCACTGCTGGATGAAAGCATCACCAAGTCGTTGCCCTCCATCACGCGTCTCATATACTCAAGAATGCATCTCGCCTTTGGGCACGGACTTAATCTCATCCCTCCGTCCCCGTGCTCTAGGACAGTCGCTCTCAATCTTGTTTGGCTACTCTAGCCCCCTTGTTCAATTTTCTCTCAACCGAGTATACCCGCCTTGCCTGACCCAACATCGTTCTGAGATAATACATGTATGAATAATGAACATCAATATTCGAACCAATTGTCCATTTGGTGAGGTATCCGAATAGAGCTAGTAACTGCAAGCAAATGTGTTCATGCCCACTGGTTACTCTTGGAAACCGCATTGTGTACGATCAATGAGTTTAGAAAAGTATTTTATACCGTTCTAGGTTTTCAAAGAGATCAAAATGTCATCCTAGATATTTTATATCAGCAGGTTCATAGATGAGTATTCACCAATGACTCTCATGCACGATATAATTTCACACGTTTATAAATCACCTTACGTACCCCCATTTGAGAAGGATTGCTCTAGGGTGCCTCCCCCTCTCCTTCGGCTGCAATTCCCTCGTCAGTAACAACCATCGGCCACCACCCTCTCCGAACAATGACTCTGTCCCCGAGCCCACAAACTCGTCTTGACAGTCAAATATAACGTCCCTTTGTTATCCTATTTGTATGCATGTGCATATGTTGAACTTCTTTCGCACCGTACATAGCCAACCGTGCTAATCTGAGGTGCGGGCGGGGGGGGACAACAAAAACTAAAAAAAAACAAAACGCAGTTCTAAAGAAATTCGTTTTCAATCTAGATTTAAAAGTGCATAGCTCCAGTGGCTCCCTAACATCGGGAGAGCATTGAGGATGGCCGCAGAAGCGCATCTGAAAGCGCTTGATGGGGTAACCGTCTTTGTTCGATGGCTAGCCAAAAGCCGCTGCCAGGATGACCGGAGTTTGCGTGATCGTTTATGCTCTTGACGAGATCATCAAGGAATTGTGGTTCATTTGCGGCAACCACTTTGTGCGTAACGCATGTGCGACCTTATCACGCATTCGTTCGGCAACTAGGACGCCAATGCAGCTTGGCGAGGACTGGACAGACATGGTGAGATCTTGTAGTGCCCCGTCACGACACCTGCCATGTTCGCCACGTGTTTCCTTTTCCGACTCCAAGGATGCACCACTTCGTGCTTCTTTGCACACTTAAGCCTCTGTTCAGTTTCCTTTTTTTCAATGTCCACGTTTCCGATCCATGTCAGCTACACTCATCCGGCCTAAGAGCAGCTCTCCACTGACCACGGCCACCAAGTCACGGCCCATGCAGATAATTGGCAATACATCTCTGGAAGGTGCCAATAGGGAACACATCTCATCCCCAGTGTGAGGGTTGTGCGAAGGGATTGTGCCGGGCTAGCAGAGATCAATTTCTAGTGGCAACGCGAGGCAAGAGGAATCTATTGCAATCTATATCCATCTCTCTGCCGGTATCTCATGGTACCAGCTGGCCAGGTAGGGTTTTGGTTGAGCGCTTGATTCACAATTGGAAGGTCGCAAGTTCAAATCGCGGTCAGTGCTCGATTTAGACCATCATCCATCAGGAGCAGGGGTCAATACATTGAGTACCATTTTATGGGGAACCTTTTGACCCGCGGGTTGGAGATGGCCTGTGAATTTGTATCGCACTGCCTGGAGTCACGAGGCCTACCGCTTTTGAAATGGTCTGCAAATTATACATATTTATATATGTATACCCGTCACTGACAAGCATATTTTCAACACAGTATGTATATTGACGTAGTATGATCTATGTAAGGAACGAAACAGGTGGACTTCTCCACAAATCTGGCTGTCGCCTGATGAAGCTAGTTTAAATTACTGGCGAAACGTCGTACTCAGATTGTAAATATTGTGGCTTGGCTCTCCAACACACCGGTTAGTGCTGTACTAGTGACGTATTGGCATGTTCTGTTTATGTGACAACCCTTACTAGTTGGCTGTGTCGGGTGGTAGAGGGGTTTTAACAATATGTCTGGTTTTTTCGGTAAAGTCACGTAGGTAAAATAAAATAAAACAACTTCCCTTCACTGGCAAGACCACCTCAGCAGTACTTAACTCAACCCAATTGGTTTCTATGGTCAAGGACATTGTACTGTCTTCTGACGATATCCTCGTCGGCTTTGATGTGGTCTCTCTGTTTACCAAGGTCCCAGTGCCTGACACCATAACAATAATTGAAGATTTGGTCCAACATGGACTGAAACCTGATGTACCTGCGCTGGTTAGATATTGCCTCACTAACACTTACTTTACCTGGAATGGTACCTTCTACAAACAAAATGAGGGTACCCCTATGGGCTCCCCCTTGTCACCAGTGATAGCCAATGTTTTCATGGAGAAATTTGAATCAGACGCCATCCAGACATCCACCCTTCGCCCTTCCCTATGGAAGAGATATGTAGATGACACTTTCGTCATCTGGCCACATGGCCTCCCAGCATTGAACCATTTCCTAGACCACATTAATTCCAGACACCCATCCATCAAATTCACCATGGAAGTGGAGAAAGATGGCAAGCTGCCATTCTTGGATGTTCTATTTGAGAGGAGGACCGATGGCTCTTTGGGACATTCTGTTTACAGGAAGTCCACCCATACAGACTCCTACTTGAAGCCTGATTCCCACCACCCGACTCAAAATAATTATCTCATCAAAACATTATACCATAGGGCTCATTGCATTTCTGACCAACACCACCTGGCCAGTGAATTCAAACACATACATCTGGCCCTCAAGATGAACGGATACTCTGACCGTACTATCTGCCAAGCTGTTTCTCCCACCATAGAGAAACAACCACCTGATACTCCGATCAAAATCATCACGTTACCATACATAGCAGGCGTTACCAAAAATATTTCCAAAATTCTAAACAAACAAGATCCAGGACCTGTTCAATACAGTACACAAAATCCGTGACCTGATCCCATCCGTAAAGGATGTCATTCCTGACTTACAGTACGCCGGTGTTTACAAATTGAGTTGTACCTGTGGTGACTGCTATATCGGGGAGACGAAACGACATATTTCTGACCGAATCCGCGAGCACAAATCACATTTGAAACACGGCAGAACGAATTCGTTGGCCGTGGCTGATCATTGTTTCAACACAGCGGGTTCTCATGACATTGTTTTCTCTGATACCAAAGTTCTCTGCAAACCTCCCAGGTTATTACCAAAGATTTGTCCATGAAGTCATCTAGATATACAAACATAGACACAACTTCAACCGAGAGGATGGTTTCAAATTGAGCAACCATTGGAAATATGTTATAAACCAAGTCAAACTTTAGCTGCCTTATAATTGTACAGCCATTTCCATTGCTTTCAGTGGGTTGTATGTACTCCTGCATCTCTTCCCCCGAACCCCCTGCAGCATAACAAAAGGCGACTTAACTCAGCCCTCCCCCCCACCCACGTCCCTTTCTGGCTCCTACCCCCCCCCCCCCCCTCTTAACCTGTATATATAATCCCGGTCGTCTCAAGAGCTCCCCACTTGGTACAGCGATTCTGCTGTGACTGGTTCCACCTGAAGACGGAAGCTTGTGTTGCCTCCGAAACGTCGTGATTTAATTTAGTTTTATTTTTTTATTTTATTTTACCTACGTGACTTTACCGAAAAAAACAAAGAGTATGAATCCTTGCAGTCACGAAAGCTTCAAATCTAGAACACCACAAGCGTAGCTTTTCACATTTGTGGTGTTTAGCTATTGAAGGTATTTTTTTTTCAGGTTGCGCTGCTGATTAATTGTCACGGTGTCCGACGTTTCCATCCACGTGCTGGGAGCTTCTTCAGGAACACAGCAAGAACTGAAGCACACGGAGCGAAACGCCGGACATTGCGCCGATGAACACTCAGTACAAACCTGGAAACACATCGGACAGCTGTAGAAAATAAGCGCTGCTCAATTGATCATTTTAGCAGGGAGTCGCAAGTACTCGTACACAATAAGAAGGGGAAAAAAAACAGACGCGTACAAAATAAATAAATCCTCCAGAGAGTCAATTACTTGCATGCAATTGAAATCTCGCGGCACAATTTGTGAAATTAAACATAGCAACAATGCAACTGCCCGGGACATTGTGATCCACCAAAATGATGAATGTACAAAGTGAGTATGAATCGCTGCAGACAGAGGGCCGACAATAGCACGGCGGCTTCCCCGCTGGGTAACGGGGACAGGCAGACAATGGGCATGTTGGAAAGGTTGCAGAGGTTCGCGTTTCGCGGTTCGCGGCCGGCAGGCCGCCCTGGTGTTTACCGCGGTGGGTATTAACCGTGAAATACGACCATGGCGTCTGTTTCACGGTGTGGACGTTAAACGTCCCGTGACGTCCCCTGACCCCCCCCCCCCCCAGGTTCACTCCTCCCCCCCCCCGACCCGTCTCTTTCTTTCCCTCCAGTATGTTAGTAATCCTCCCTCGTAGCCTCCTGTTGTCCTACCCCAGCACCTCGTCCTTCCGACATGAGGAAGCTACTGGAGCAATGCACTTTTAAATCATCTCGATTCAAACTCCTTTCTTGAGAACAACTTTTTTTGTGTTCAGTTTGTTCTCCTTCCCCCGCAACTCCAATTAGCGCGGTTGGCTACGTACGGTGCGAAAAGAAGTTCAACACAGAGTACGTAACATTATTACCCTTGTTCCAGCCTCCACGTATGAACGTTCACGTGCTCCTGGTCCCCAGACCCGGAATGATTGTGCTCAGGTGGTGTGGCATCTCCCCAAGTAGCGGGGAATTTGGTGAGCAGATGGATTTAATGATGGAATCATTCATTTGGGGAAAAGGTTTCCACCCATATAAGTGGGCTAGAGCCAGTGATCGGGAAGTGTATTTGGGGATTGGGCAAGCTGTTGCCTTGGGCGTGCTTGGTTAGCGCTCTGCTATATGTCAAGCTGTTTTTAGGATAACTTTAGATTATTGCGTTACATTATTGAATAAAGAAAACCCGATGGATACAGAAACCTGCTGTGGCTGCTTCAATAAACTTCCAGTCTTACCGCCTGTAACAATGGGCGCTGCGGTGGCGATATCTTAACTACCTCGCCTGGTATACAGGAGTGCGTGGGTTTGATCCCGACCCTGACACCTGCTGTATAATTGGAGTTTGCGGTGTGTCTCTCTCCCCGTGGTCGCGTGGATTTTTGTAAGCGTCCTCCGGTTTTTCCCTCCACATTTAGAAACACGCGTTGAGAGTTTTCGGCTGCTGCCATTAATGTCCACGTGACAACCAGCCACTTTGTTGAGCTGTCATTTGTGGCCACGTCAATTCTGAAAAAAATCTACATAGCTCAGTGGGCCTTACCCTGAAAAAGAAAACAAAAAATAGTTCAGTTTAAATGAATTGCAATCGTGGCCCGCGACTGCAACATTTGCCAAATTTGAATAATTTCACCAGAGATGCGTCCCTTTGAGGAAGCCCGATGCATGACGGGCGAGGGTGGTGCTGTTGGATTGCTGCACACGAGAGCACCTTTTCGCGCGCCCTCGCTCTTGTCCGATCGTCCATCCACGTCATCTCGTCGAGCGTGTGAATGAAGGCTTCCCGCAGCCTCTCGATCATCATCTCCACCTGGGAACACATCCACACCGACCTTGCGCTGCCCCGTTTGTGACTCGCAAATTAAATATTACTTTGTGCAAAAATGCACTCGACACTAAAGCCCACACGCAGATCGCATGATTTATCCTGCTAGAAGGGGGCTGCCACAAGATAGAATAAACGCTACTGCTCGGGTATGGTCAGGTTTGTAAAAGTAACATGAATATATACATACGTTTTGCATGAGAAAAATGTATAGCACAAATAATAGATGTATGGCAAATTAGTTATTGAATGCGACATTGCACGTACATTTGTATTGTTTGCTTCTTTGTATGCTATTTATCACCACCAATTTTCACATATCTAGTAAAGCCCTGCAAGATAGACAGACACTAGTCCAATTGGTCGTATATTTTTTATTAATTAATTTCTGCTGATCCATCTATGGACCAGCACCACCCCCAACTGCCCTTCATCCCGAGTATTGATGTTTACAAACCACCTGCCGGATAGTCGTGTGATCCTAGGGGATATTATCACTGGTGTTAGCCCAGGGCTCAGGAATCAAACTCGAATTGACAGCGCATTACGACGATCACTCCGCCACTCGCTCTGGTGACACACACACACACATGTACGCATGTACGAACAAAAGCAAAAACACAGAGAGACGGAAAGATCTCTCGTAATAATATTTAACAGACTATTGGGGCACGTGCTGTTAGCGTGCGCCAATGAAGGCCAGCACGGATCACGATGGCGTCAGTGGCCAACAACACCATGCCCAGCCGCCTTCCTCTCCTCGGCGGTGAAGTTTTATACGCACAGCACCGGGCACTCATTAAAGGCTGAGTCGACCTCGGGGAGGCCGAGAACCGGTTCAAATATTCACTGTCATCGGTCGCGAGTGGGGATCGAACTCGAACGTCCGGGTTCATCGTGCGATATCCACTACACCACCGCTCTCCCGAATGTGCACATGCACGCACCCACGCGCACGCACCCACACACATAAACGGGCTTCATTGAGGCAAGTGCAGAGACGGTAATGTACGCCACGGTAGATTAAACCATGGCGACCATTAATGTTGTGGTCGCCAGGCGAATCAAATATGACCGTCACTTAAGCGCCCTGCCTCGCCCTGCGTTAGATTTACTCACGGAGGCAAAGAGCTCGCACGCCGCTCGGCTCCAGCCACAAGCGGCGAAGGACACGCGGCACGCTTCGGCGCTGTGACGCGCAGCACGCGCGATAGGACGACTGACAACCACACTGGACCGCCCCCAGCACCGCTTCACTTTGTTTAGACGTTGACGTTAACGTGCGTTGCCGCCGGCACACGCCGGCCGCAACGCACGTGACAAGGTGACAAGGTGCGTCGCGGCGGTCGGGAGCATTTCACACATTCTACATCGCATAGGAAACAACCATTTTCATTTTTTCAGTTTCATTTCAGTTATTAGGTATAGCCCTGTGAGCCATTCGGCTCTTGAGTCGGGTGCAACCGCAACAAACAAAAAAAACAGAAACACGAAATATCTGAAAGTGACTACACGCAACAGAAAAATCCAGGAAAAAACAGCAAAGTCTTCCAGAAAAAGCACCGAATATCAATGCTGTGTGCAAAAATCCCGATCCTTCCCGAGCCAGATCTCTTCACAGCCAGGGAGCGACTAAGCTGGGTCGAACCCTGGATATAGTGGCCACCATGTGGAGCAGGTTGCTATAGGCTGTGGGGGGCTATGTTACGCAGCAGCAGCAGCAGCAGAGCACACACACAACCCAATGTTGGACTCTACTTCTATGCTCCGCAGCATTCATGCTCTCTGCCTTCACCAACCCACACCGAGAAGCGTGGTGAGGAACGCTCGAACAACTCCCATGGGCCGCACTGCCTGGGGAGGCCCTCATCCAGCAGTGGATTCACAAAAGGCTCGACATGAGTTCTTCAGTAATTGTCTGCAGATTAAATTGAATCAAATATTTCAAAGACTGGTGGGCAATGCTATCGAGGTGGTGGTTAATGGGTCGGGAAGTTTCGCCAGAATCCCCGCGATCCAGGAATCGATGCCTAACCCACGGCTAACATCAGTGGCAAATGAACCCGTCAGAACCTATCCTGTCAGCCTGCCCACCTAACCCTTCACCAAGCCGCACTGACCAGCGTGGTGAGGTATGGTTAAACAACTCCATTACCGACACGGCGTAGGGGGCTTTTATGCATTTGTGGATTGAGAATGGTAATTTGAGCACACATTTGGTACTCAAATAATGAAAGTAATAATGATTAAAACAAAGCTGTTGTTCATGGGATGCATGTATGTTGAACCTCTTTCCCACATTTTACGTTTCTAAAGCAAACGTCGAACAGCTCACCGCAGTGTGTGAAATTACACTTGCAAAATACACGCGAGGGTATTGCTGAATATTCACACGCCTATGTTGCATGAAGTCATAGCCCTGCCTTCCCCTTGTGGACATCGAGGGTCGTGGGTTAACCCCAGTGCTGCACCTATAATTCGCGCTCCAAGTCAACATTTTATCGTCGCTGTCCAGATCCCCCCTTGCACGTCAATCACGGAGCACGATTCCTTCCCGCTGCTGCGCTTGGGCCGTCCCTGTGAGTGGGAGAGACGTGTGCACCTAAAGGCATGGGCTCCATTGTAAATGCAGTTGATAGTGATGCAAAACAAATAATAATAATCACAAAGGTAATAATAAAATAACGACGCTGCATCCACCAATGGACTTGCAATCCGGAGGATGATGGGTTCGATTCCACATCCAGGCGAGGGCAGTTGAAACGAAGGCGCAGTTTGATCAATTCCCCACCGCCACTCCGCCTCAGTCGGCCCAGCAGCAAGAAAGTGGTGCGTCACAGTCAGTGGATCGGTGTGTGTGTGTGTGCGTGCGTTTGGTGGGTTAAAGTGTAGGTGACGTCAAACCATCCCGCCACAGGGGCTCCTCCAGAGCTCCGTCTAGTCGAGGCTCTTCTGCCAGCGGTGGCGCGAGAGTGAGTAATTGCAGGGCACCACCTTTAACTTTGACTGCCGTGTATATATACAACTCGGTAGTATATGCATAACTCACAGCTGGAAGGTTGCAATTTCAAAATCCTGGCCTGGTGTTTATAAGAAATGAGTTTCCCTTTTGTGAGACGTCTGCAGCAGTTGTCCCATGGCGAAACTGCCCCCCCCTCCTCCCTCCCCCCCTAGCCCCGACATACCAATTAAGAATTTCGACCAATCTCTCGAGGAACGCCTCTGGAGCGGAGGCCACTCAGCCAGCAGTGGCACGAGCAGCCGCGTGGAGCTGCACCTTAACCTTCTTACACTTTTACAAACAGGTGGAACGAATGAGAGCTTGCCGAGCGGGCGACGATGGTGGCACTGCGCAACGCGCTTGGGGGTGTGTACCACCTGTCCACGTTGGAGCCGGGTGGCGGCTCGAATTGATCTGCTCCGACGACCGGTACCGGGTTTCGCGTCGAAGTTCGTTCCAGAGAAATATGCGCGGCTTTGACGCGCCGTGCAAAAAAAGGTTGGCAAACCCCCATCCAAAGCTCCGCCCCCCCGCTCCCCGCCGACGCGCTCCGTACCTTAGTCTTGCCGTGTCTCGGGAAGGCGTCGAGCACGTACAGCGCCCCCACGGCGCTCGGGAGGGCCGTGTTCACGTAGTCGACACAGTGACGCCAGCGAGCCCTGGCCAGCAGCACTCCGTACAGCATCTTCACCACCCCACACGCGTTGCATTTAATGTGCTTCGCGCACCCGCACACAACCGCACGAGCGCTCACATCTTTTAACTCTATCCCGTTCCGACGACGTGCGTGTCGGTCATCAAAATGAAACCAGAATGAAAACTAAAATAAAATGACTCAGTCGGTACCGAGGGACCCACAAGGCCATGCGGGAGGGCGTGCGGCGCAGTTTGACGGCGGCTATCGTAGAGTGCGGTCGTGTCGCTACGGTTTTTTGCGCTGAGTGCGATGTTTTTTTTTTTAAAACAACGGTGCTACACTCCTCTATATAACATTAACGCCGAGCCGCTTGCACGTTCCAATATTCAGAGGTGAACGGGACACCCACCCTGCAACTTGCAGATGTCTCAGAACGGGAAAGGGTTAAGCAGTGAATCATCCTCGTATATATGCAGTGTTTTGCACAACCACCTTGCCATTCCACGGCCGGATGAATGCCTTCCCTACAGGTGTTGTTTGACTCTACTTCACTGGTCAGTGCGGAGTTGGTGAAGCGGGAGGGGGTGAAGTAGAAACGAAGGAGCGGGAGCGGTTTTGATATCACTCGCCCATTGTGTGAGCCGAAATGAGCGATTAATTATTCGTAACGGGCAACAGAAACAAAACAAAAACCACATCAATGGTGTTGGCCAATCAGTTTCAAAGACAAAGCATATATTACGTTTGTTTGGATGTTTTGTCGTACGCACGTGTGGTTAATGCAGACTTGATGCCTTGAAAAAGGTATAAATTTGGTGTTTGAACATCTTAACACCTGTTGTATTTCCAGAAAGGCTAAAACCTATTCTTATTTTTCATCATTTTTGACAATAGCATACATGTCCCATAGATATTTAAAAATATATATCAATAACAATGGCTCCCAGAGTCACGGTACCTTTTGGGTCTCTGCGATGGCCTCCTGGTATTTGTGACTGAGGCTGCCGATCACCTCCGTAATGAGCATCCACACCACGTAGTTGTGCACATCACTGTTCACGAACACAACGTGAGTGCGCGCACGCCAACAAACACGCAAGCACGCCACGAACGTTGCGCAAAGACGCACACAATAAACAAATTCTACTACCAATTTCTGTATTTACCTGGTAAGGCCCACTGGATGATACAGGTCAGAAGTGACCTGGCACTCACAAATGATAGCTAAACGAAGGGACTCATCATCGTGTGGAAATATATAATGCAGCAAAATACTCTGAAGGCGTTGTTGTTGATTCTAAACGTGGAGGGAACAACTGGAGGAGAAAATCCACACGACCACGGGGAGAACACGCAAACTCCAAATATACAGCAGCACTTTAAGATGTTTTTCTTGTTCATGTTTTTGTTTGTTGCGGTTGCACCCGATTCAAGAGCCGAATGGCTCACAGGGCTATACCAAATAAATGAACTATGGAACTATGAACTACAGCAGGCGTCAGGCTCGGGTTCGAAATCAAGACCTCCTGTAGTATACCAGGCGTCTCGCCACCATGGTGCCCAATTCAAACTAATCCAAATTAAACCACAAATTCTAACCCCCCCTAAGAGAAAATGGCCTTTGCACATTTGCACCACCTGGAGTTTTTAAAGGGTGGTTTATCCAAATATGACAAATTGATTTCAAAATCCGATTTTTTTTTCAAAATCTCAATATATCAGGAATTAGTTGTTTAACCTCTCAACCAAAGAGAGTTTGTATCCCAAGAATTCTGAAGGGTTCAAGTTGAAGTCATTAACGGGGTGAGAAATCAAGAGGCCAGAATAATCTCATTTGGAAGCTACCTTTGCCATCAACATGGCAAAAGTAATGAATAAAGAATAGCAAGAAATATAAAATCTTTGCAAAGATGCTCAACACAAAAGTGGAATCATAGTGTCTGTAGCTCAATCTCTTGTGTAATTTTCGAAGCGCATGCTAAATAGTGAGGTCAAGTCTGCTGCAGATTACTTGTGCACATGCTCTTAAATGACACAATGAGAATTTGCATTCTGAAATTGTCGCATATTGAGAGGAATTATTTCGACTTAACACAATTTGCGACAACAGGATAGAATTTTCCATGCGCAGACTTGGAACAGGGAAATGAGTTCCCCACGGTACTGGAAATAGGTTAAACACAATTACGCTGAACGTAACCTAAAACGGAGAGATTAGACATGCCTTTTTGCAAGGTGTGACAAGCGGGTCGTGAAATAAATACGAAGACAAAGTCTACCCCTGTAGCCTTCCGTAGACTGGCAAGGCGGCGCTTCTCAGCCGGGGGCAGCGCAGAACCCTGGGGGCATGCGGCAACGTCCCAGGGAGGCACGCGAGCTGATTTACAAATGTGTGAAATTATATTATACATTAGTCATTGGTGAATAATCATGTATGAATCTGCCAATGTAAAATGACTACGATAAAATGTTAATTGATACGGTAACCTAGAATGGTATAAAATACCTTTCTAAACCCATTGACCGTACACAACGTGGTTTCCTTAAGAAGCCAGCGAGCGTGAGCAAGTTACGACGTGCATGCAGAGTGCCCATTGGATTTCTTTATTTATTCGCTTGCAGTTACTATCTCGTTAGGATACCGCACAAAATGGACAATTGGTTAAAATGTTGACGTGCATTAGTCATGCATTTATTATCTCAGAACCATGTTGGGTCAGGCTGAATCAAAATTCAACAAGGCGGGGTTCAGCAGCCAAACAAGATTGAGGGCGACTTTGGTAGGCCAAGTGCTGTTACGGGAGCATCTACGAAGGCAGAGACGGCGGACTAAGGGATCCTGTGGCCAGCACCTCCTCGTGCCGCTGTTTACACACCGCACCAGGCACTCATTTGAGGCTGAGTCGACCTAGGGGAGGCCCAGGACTGGTTCAGATATTCGACACCCAGCTTTTGCAGGTGTGTAGCGCGGTGAGCGTTAGCTACTGCTCCACCGTTCCCCAAACACACATATGCGTACACACACCCCCCCCACCTCATGCACAGATCGGCTTGATGTGACAGCGTTATTAAAAACATGATCTGTGCTTTTTCGGGAAAAATAGAGGAATAACCTCGAAGAGGTGTGGGGCAAATCCATCCGATAATCTGCAGATTAAGCACAATTATATTCTGGAACATCGTAATGGATATTAACGGATAACATGATGTTTGAGTTGCGACAATCAGTCGACAGGGTCGATCGAGGACTCAGACCCCTTTAAAAACAGAGGCCACCTCCACATTCTACCTTCCGAAGGTGGGAAACCCTCCCCAACAAAGCCACGCGCCCAGCGTGATGTTGCTAATGATGCCCCGCCCATCACCTCCCGTTCAGCGGCACACATGGGAACGGAGGTGAGACGCCCCCCCTCCCCCCCAGCTATCTTTCTGTTATCCGATTAGTCGAGTAATGGAACCGATGGTTGGTAAAGCAATCGATTACTTCAAATCGTCGGATCACCTAGCTCTAATTAGGATCCGCCAATATAATCACCCCCCTCTTTACCGATGCAAAGAGTGCTGTGACTGTGTACATGCTTAGTAGCACTTAACCCTTTCTCAATCCAATAACGTACGTACGTGTACATCACGAGTTTTTCTTCCGATTCCATCCTGATGACGGTCACGTATGTATGTGTACGTACGTCGTGAAAGATAAACCACAAGTAAACTAAAATAAAATAACTTAATCAGTACCGAGACTCTCACAAAGCCATGCGGGAGGGCGTGTGGCACAGTTTGGTGCCAGCTATCGTAGAGTGTGGTCGCATCACGACAGTTCTCTGGAGTCTTTGCAGTGTCTTTAAAAACAACGGCGCTACGCCTCTCTAAATACAATTAACGCCGAGCCGCTTGTGCGTTCCGAGATTCGGAGGAGAGCGGGACAGCCGCCACCCTGCAAGCACACATCGAGCTGTAATCTGCGTAGCACATGAGGCGCGTGTCCGAGGCTCTCCGCAGCTTTAAGCTGACAGGGCATCCTTTTCTCACCACAAGGGAACTCAAGAAGCTGGCGAACGTTCGGAACGTTCTGTAAAACAGCAGTAATTGTTGGTAATTCCACAAATTATCCCAAGATGCCGGTACGACGTGGACTGTTCTCGTGGAAGTCGTTGGCTCTTAATGACCGGACGATGATGAACTTATTCTTAGCTCTTTCGGTAAAGTCACGTTGAAGGGAAACAATAAAATAATAAAATATATAAAACAATACAAATTCTCACGACGTTTCGACCATAACACAAACGGTCGTCATCAGGTGCGTCGGTTCGCATTTTTTTTTTCCAAGACAGAGGTTCTTTGTAAGCCATCTGGTTACCATGAGAGATTCGTTCATGAGGCTATCCACATATACAAGCACAGAGACAATTTCAACCGAGAAGATGGATTCTGGCTTAGCAATCATTGGAAAGATTTGATAAACCATTTCAGGTCTTAATTGATTGTTCACGCTTACAGTGGCTTTCAGACAGCATACATTAATTTTTCGTCTCCCCCCTCCTCTTTTCAGAACATAGATGGACTCGTCCTTCTAAATAAACTGCCAAATCGCTGCGCGTGGCGCTGACGTTTTTTTAAAAATAAATAAATACACCGTTTAAAAGTAAACAAATTAATGCAAACCGACACACCTGATGACGACCGTTTGTGTTATGGTCGAAATGTCGTGAGAATTTGTATTGTTTTATATATTTTATTATTTTATTGTTTCCCTTCAACGTGACTTTACCGAAAGAGCTAAGAATATGAATTACTGCAGTCACGAAAACTTTAAATCAAGACGATGAACTTGTTTTGGAGTGATCCCTGTTGGGGAACTGAGGTTTGATTGGTGGCTGAGAGGCCTGAATCCAAAGGCAAGGGCACTTGCCACGTGGTCAACCTGCAGGCTCAAGTACCAACAAAACACTCGGTGTGTGTGGAGCAATGGTTGCTTGTACTGCAACACGATCCCCGAGTCCTGGGTCTCCCCTAGATGGACTCAGCCTTTAAATCAGTACTTGGTGTGGTGTGTAAATGTCAGCACTGAGGAGACAGAGGCCACTGGGGCGTGGTGCTAACAGCACTTGTCCCAACAGCCTCTGTTGGCTACATGGGGTATCTTTGTCTTTGTGTGTGTTAATGCGTATATGTGGTCTTAAAGTGCAGATAGCCTGGCACAAGCGCCGTGGTGATGTCACCGCCACTTATTGGCGAATGGCGGTTGTTGTTGTATATGTGTATATAAACACACACCTGGGTGGATGACTGTTCAGGATGTCAGACAACTGCTCCAAATATTCAGGAGCCGACACCAGAATTTCCTCGCTCGCCTCCACTTCAATGTCAACCGTTTTCAAAACCTCGTTTATGAAGAGTGTCCAGTTGAAACCCTAAATACAAGCAAAGAGATAAACATTGTTCCATTAAGTCTCTGCACAGACCCGGTTCATTAGTTTTCCCTATTAATAGGGACAGCTGCGATCAGGGGATCACCTCGGCTTTAAAAAGCTACTGTGCTTGTTACATTCATGGGCACAATATAAATGCAAGATTTTGTTATTTTTGTTGTGATATTATTATGAATGTTCAACTCCTTCAGCAGATGTTCAAGCCAAGAGAACAGAGTTGGTTCTGAGCTGGTCTTAACAAAAAAAAAACTAAGCAAAGTCTGTATGAACACAATTGCAGAATTGTGGAATCGAGGCCACTTCTTGCAAAATAGACTCACCCTGTTCTCTGAGTTTCTGGTTTAAAAAAAAAATGAAACGTGAACCTTCATTCTAACTTCAATTGCATCTCTGACGTGCTTTAAGCGGCAAAATATAAACATCGACAAACGTAGAGTGAACCTCTCTTGACGACCACCCCTGTTAACGACTAATCACTTCACGACGGACACCAAAGAGCCCAATGCGTTCGCTTACCCAGCATTCCCCTGTTAACGATCGGCTGTTGTTGGTACAATCAATATGAATTGATGTATTGATTAACCATGTTTATTTAAATATTATGTGTTTGCAATGTTGTTAGTATCTTGGTGTATTAATATCCATTGTTTAAATATACATTTTTATAAAAAATAGGGTGAAGAAGTGTAACTTTCGATGCTATCGGAGCGAATTAAGCCTTTAACGTGTATTTCCAATACTCGCAAAACGACCAAATCACTTAACGGCCGGTTTTGTGGAACCAGTTACCGTTGTAAACAGAGTTTATACTATACATATAAAGAATGGACCATTTGAATTGAAAAGAATAATAATCATCATGTACTCACATTAAGAGGAAACTCTTGCTGTAGCTGCAATAAGGTCATCCTGTTGAAAAGTTTCGTGACGTCCGTTCTGTTCTCAGCTGGAGTTATGGCCTGAGGATCGCACGTTTCACAGTCGACGTTCACGGCACAACCACGTGGTGATAGACCACAGCCCTCCTCTCTAGCTGCCGCTCAGATAAGTTGGTAATGTACTTTGCGAAAGAAGTTCAACGTACCGAAGGCGTGGAGAAGCTATTCCTCACTCGGGGCAAAACAGAACTTTCAAATGCCTTTGGCGGGTCACGCATTAGTACGCACATCTGTCACTGCAAAGGGTCTTGCAGTGACAGTAGTAACTGAGCGTGCAACAATCGGAAACATGCTGTTGTCAGGTCGCTTCGTTGAGCTATCATTTGTGGCCAGGTCGCTTCTGGAAAAGAGCTATATAACTCAATCGGCCTTACTTGGTAAAATAAAAATAGTTTAAGATTTTTAGTTTTAGTCCCTCGGAAAAATAGGAAATTGAAAGTTGCCAAAATTAACAGCAAAAAAGAGCAGTTTTCTGTGAGTAGAAACTATCGAGAGAGGTGTAATTCTTGAGATAGAGATGCAGCCCTATAATTACTTGATTATAAAATCAACTTAGGGGAGGCCCCATAACCAGTTCAGATAATCATAACCGGTGTTGGCCATAACTGGGAATTGTACTCGCGTGGTCGTGCTTATAGCACAGAACGCTTACCACCGCACTACCGCTACGAAAAACAAACACACACACACACACACTACCCTACGAGAACCACTGAAAATACAAGTGTGACCCTAAGGTGAGACACATGCCAAACGCTTAGATCTTTTTTTTCTCTCGCGTAATTTACTCAAGCGGAAAATCTTTATTTGGGAGAAAACGAAACGCAAATTTCCCATGTCACCCACTTCGCTTGGTGCGCGACGCAGCGAGAACCGTGGCGAGCGCCGGGGGAACGCGCGCAGATGGCAGTCGCTGTCCGTGGATCGCATTACCTCCGCTATTTCCATCTCCAGCCGAAAGACGCCTTCCATTTGCTCTTGAACGAAGTCAATATCGTCCGTGATATTCTTGTCCGCTCTGATTATCGTCGCCACAGCAATCATAGCCCTGAGATACGTGTCACGTACCTACATGTATATATATACAGGAGCGATAAGGGAAGACAGAGGGCATGGTGATAAAATAGAACAAATCTTCCAGAAGACAAAATGTGTGCTGGCTGTATTGTTATATTGGCCTTCATTGTTGATCTGTTGTTGTTACGTTCTGTGCCGTTATCGTCTTGGTAGAACGGCCTCCAATACTGGGAGCTATAAAGAGCCGCTCTAGATGATATTTGGCCTACTCTTCCATGCAGTTCAGGCGTCATGGAAGAGGTGGGAGTACCCCGATCTTTGCCCCACCATGCGTTCCATGCTTGACTGTGGCGCTACCCATGTGTGCTACCGAAAGGAGGTAGGCATTGGAGGATTTAATGTATGGTAAGATTATTTTCTCTTACTGTGGTTTTACCACCTGATGATGATTGCTTGTGTTGCAATCGAAACGTCGTGATTTATTCTTATTTTATTTAATACCTACGCGACTTTACCGAAAGAACCAGAGAGCATGGATTCGTGCAGTCACGAAAGCTTCAAATCTATTATTTAATAAACCTTCGCCATTGTCTAGAAATGTCGTGCCGGGAGGTGGAATCGAACCGGTGGCCTCCGGATCACAAGCGCGGCGTGCTCACCATTGCCACCACTGCAGCATACCAGAGCCCCATTCATGGTCAATATTTATTTCTGAGCTGCAGGAGTTTAAGCGGCGAGGAGCAGCAACGTGTTTTTTCTTTTCACAATGTGATGCCACCGCCGTCGCCACCTCACCTGACTGTAGTAGCCTTTGTCAAAGTAAAAGTCCCGGGTAGGGAGGCCCAGCGAGGGCTGGTCAATCTGTCGTTACAATAACAACGACAAGGTCACACGAATGGTAAGCAACAAAACAATCATCTCCCTGTGTAACGGTTTAAGACTGTTGCGGCTAAGTGTGGTTAGTAAGCAGCTATTCATACCAGCAAGTTATCAAAGAGTGAAGAGCCCAGAGCTGGCCCAGGACACGCTGGCGGTGGTGGGACGATGTCGCTCGGCTGGCCTGGGAATGCCTGGGAATTCCCCAGGAAGAGCTAGAGTCTGTGTGTAGAGTCATGTAGTGTATAGTGTAGTGTACAGTAGTGTAGTGCATAGTAGTGTAGTGTATAGTGTAGTAGTGTATAGTAGTGTATAGTGTAGTAGTGTATAGTGTGGTAGTGTATAGTGTGGTAGTGTATAGTGTAGTAGTGTATAGTGTAGTGTACAGTAGTGTAGTGTATAGTAGTGTAGTGTATAGTAGTGTATAGTAGTGTAGTGTATAGTAGTGTATAGTGGTGTATAGTGTATAGTAGTGTATAGTAGTGTAGTGTATAGTGTATAGTAATGTATAGTGTATAGTAATGTATAGTGTAGCAGTGCTGGAGTCTGTCGCCATGGAAAGGGACGTCTGTAGTAGTGAAGAGTCATGTAGTGTATAGTGTAGTGTACAGTAGTGTAGTGTATAGTAGTGTAGTGTATAGTAGTGTATAGTAGTGTATAGTAGTGTAGTGTATAGTGTATAGTAGTGTATAGTGGTGTATAGTGTATAGTAGTGTATAGTAGTGTAGTGTATAGTGTATAGTAGTGTATAGTGGTGTATAGTAGTGTATAGTAGTGTATAGTGTATAGTAGTGTATAGTGGTGTATAGTGTATAGTGTAGCAGTGCTGGAGTCTGTCGCCAGGGAAAGGGACGTCTGTAGTAGTGAAGAGTCATGTTGTGTATAGTTCAGTGTACAGTAGTGTAGTGTATAGTAGTGTAGTGTATAGTGTAGTAGTGTAGTGTATAGTAATGTATAGTGTAGTAATTGCTGGAGTCTGTCGCCAGGGAAAGGGACGTCTGGACCGCCACTACGCAACACGCTGCCGCCGCGACCCTCGCCATGACAAGCGTATTGAGAAACGGACGGACGAACGAAGTTATCATTGGGATGAAGTACTGTGGTTAGCAACACTCAGGACACTATCAAATACCTCTGACAAAGGTATGTGAAAGTCCTTAGCTTGGTATTAAGGTCCCCCCCCCCCCACTGTGCTCACGAGAGCGCTGCGAGTGACTGGGGGGGTCACACGCACGTAGATAGCGGAGGACTTGGAGTCGTTCACGTCGCTCGCGATGCCGACGTCGATGATCACCCGATTGCCGTAACGTGAAGTCATGAAAGCAAGAACCTCCTCGAGCCTCCACTGGCTGCCTGCGACACAAATCATCACGGGACGATTCATGAAAGAACAAAAAATCATCTCCTCCCAGCAGCACCTGAAGAAGCTTCCTGCAGCACGCAGAGGGAAACGTCGGACATAACGCCAAATATTTTTTTTTATTTTACCAGGTAAGGCTCAGTGACCAATACTGTATCACTTTTTTTGATAAGCGACCTCGCCACAAATGCTAGGTCAACGAAGTAGCTTATCACGTAGACATGTATGGCAGCCAAATAACTCTAAACGCATGTTTCTAAATGTGGAGGGAAAACCCAGAGGACGTGGAGAAAAATCCACGTGACCACGGGGAGGATATGCAACCTCCAAATATACAGGTGTCAGAGTCGAGATCGAACCAACGACCTCCTGCATACCAGGCGAGGTAGTTCACATCTCGCCACCGTGGTGCCCAACATACGGTACGACTAAAAAATCACAGCGGAGAGCTGTAAACAACACGTTACATTTACTCGCATGTTGATTCAGATGACGTACCGTTGTTTAAACACACGCAAATCAGTAGCAGAACCATGTCTGTCATTCTCTCCCGTTCACAGTCTTATTTTGTTTGCACAGTTATCGGTGACTGTGGTTGGAAGTGCGTCACCGTGCTACGCTTGAGAACCGGAATCCGAATCCAGGATCTCGTCGCTCTGTCCCCTGAGCCACCTTGCCGCCTTGGACGGAGAGATTTCTTCATCAAAAATGGATGGTTAATTTGCCCGGGGATTGGCAGGAGGTGTAAACTAGATTAGAAACTTTCGTGTAGTGTATAGTAGTCCCCGGGATTGACAGGAGGTGTAAATTGAGGATTATTTCCGAAAAAAAAACGAAAGGATTTAATTTTTAGAAGGGACCTCTGGGTAAGACCTTGAAGGAGTTTGCCAAATCTCTGCTCAACAGAGGGAGAGATCTTGGCTCTGGGTATCGGGAGACGAGGCTGCTGTGAAGGAGATGTGGGTGCTGCGGTGAGGATGGTGTTCTTGTGCACGCCGGGGAGACCATGATGGAATCCACGACAAGAGCTTCTAGACCAGGGGTCGGCAACCAAAATAACAAGACGAGCTTGTTTTTCTTCTTCTTCAGAATTCTGTTACAAAAACTCAATGCAAAGATTTTTTTTTAATTTTAATCGGGTAAGGCCCACTGAGCTGCACAGAAGCGATCCTGGCCACAAAAGATAGCTCAATGACGTGGCTTATCACGTGGACATTTATAGCAGCCGAATACTTAAACGCTTGTTTTCTTAAGGTGTGTCAGGGTCAGGATCGAACCCACGAACCTCCTGTATACCAGGCGAGGTAGTTAACATCTCGCCACCACGACGCCCCCATATATAGGCACAGGTGGCCGACGCCTGCCCTGGACCATCGCGGACGCTGCACTCCTACCGTAGGTTGAATTCCAGTCGACGGTGGCAACGGGCCACTCGAGCACATCCTCCAAGAGCCACAGCAGAGGCTCGGAATCTCTTTCCTCAATAGCTTCTGTAACAACACACCGTTCACGAGTCACGTGAGCCTGCGTGGCTAGCAATGGGATCTCACACACTACGCACGGCAGTGCATGCAGACGTTCAAGCCGCCCATCGCGAGTGTGCCAGCGGTCAAAGTTTGCGGACTTTCTGAGATATAAAATGCGCGCTTTTGACAATCTTACAGGCCGTGACGGGGGGTATTTGATAATTCTTTACCGCTGTGGTTCGTGAGGCTTCGTGAAGGCGGGAGGGGGGGCATAGATGTTGGAGCACAGTACAGTAGAACCACCGGATATCGCCGCACTATCTTCTGGTGGCAAGAGTAGGCGCGCGGCAGCAGCCTATAACACCTGTGCTGTGCACTGTGATCGCCCAATCCGAGCGCTGCCCAGGCTCAATACCTGCTTAGTTCCTGTGATCCGAGGAGATCGAGAGCACTCCGGGTGGACGTGGTGTCAAGCGATTAAAAAAGAGAGAAAGTTAATTGAAATATAAATTACATATTTACATGGAACATTGTGCTCTCAACTAATGGAGGGTCATTACACATTGCATGGATAGATCAACAGAGACATGCATTATTTAACACATTTATACTCATGAATGAGTCATATTGCTACATGTCATCTTTGGCCACGCAATATTAAACAACATGTTATAATCATTGAAAGGTAAAGGTGCAGCTCTGAAATTGCTTGCTCACGCCACGACTGCTAGAAGGGTCTCCACTAAAGGTAGCCCCTTTCAAGGGCATGTTTGGCCTACTCTTCCACGCAGGCCAGACGTCGTGGAAGAGGCGGAAGTACCCACACTTTGCCCCACCACATTCGACCTGCCGATATACGAACTGTGGTGCACCCTTTGATGCTTCTGGGTGGACAGAGGAGACGGCAAGGGTATTTATGAAACCTGCAGCGTTGCTTTGAACTTCTGTTCCGGGAGGCCGAATCGGTGATCTCTGGATTTCACGTCCAGTGTGCGAACCGTTACATCACAAAACAATGTCCATTCACAATACACTCCCAAGAGATGTTGGTTGTTGTTGTCGTCGGCAATGTAGATTGTGATTGAACCCATGCATTAAAGTACGTTATGTATTTTTTTGTTTGTTCGCAATACGTGATGGGAATCGAATGAGAGGCCTTTTGAATTGCGAGTCCATCGATAGAAGTGCCACTTCAAAGACTGCTTAAAGGGCACCTCGTGAAGTTTCCTGATACGTGCCATTAACCCAGCACATAGCAGAGTAAGTGCAGGAATGCAGACGTCATGTCGACTTGCAAAAGTATGCTGGGATACCAGTAATGTTTTTGCTCATGAAGATATATTTGTTCAATACGTACGTATTTTACATTCATATATCCTGCATCTATATTATCCCTTGCAATCATTCCAGCATGCTGTAAAATGCAGGAATGCTGATGTCATCTCGACTCGCAAAGCATGCTGGGATTCTAGTTATGTTATATCTCTGTGCATATGTTTGCATATATACAGCGTATTATCCGTGCACATTCACCGCTCTCCTCCGAGGACAATGGGAGCCCCTCAAGGCAAATGCGTCTTATCGCCTTGCCTCCGGACACTTCATCCTTAAGCACCCCTCTGCCGCATTCTAATGCATTCCTCCCATTCTGTCATGTACACTGCTTTAGTTGCAATCCCACCCGAATGCACTGCAGCGCAGGTTTCTCTTCTCTTAATGGAGACGAAGGAAGCTCTGTAAATGTTGCACGCTAATCTCTCAACGTGTGTGGGTACGCAGTGGTTTGCTCGTGGCGATGTGAAGCCAACGAACCGAGTTCCCAGCTCCGATTAGCGCGGTTGGCTACGTACGGTGCGAAAGAATTTCAGGATGGTCAAACCCCCACTCCTCCACTTCCCCATTCCACTTCAGCATCACAGAAAACGCTGTGATGTTCTTTAGCACTGTACCGTGCGTTGCTCGGCACGATGGCCGACGTTTCATTCCACGAATCAGCACCTGAAAAAGACCGCGGCCCAGCCCGCAGAGCGACATCGTGGCGAGCAGTGCGTGCTACGACTTGAATGCAACAGCTCATCAGATAACTACTTCGTATAGCCATTAGTTTGTCTTTTTGCCACACTAGGTGGTGCACTGCCTCACATGCCCTGGTATAGTGGTGTATGTCACGTGGCAATCAACGATTTTTGTTTAATTCATTCAAGAGCTGAAGTGAGCTGAATTATGCAAAAAAAAAGTATAATTATACAGCTGCATGTAAAAGCCGTGGTTTGATGTCAAGTGATTGCAAGCTGGATTTAAGGCCGTGATCTGTGGTGGCGATATGATGAACTTCTTTCGCACCATATGTAGCCAACCGTGCTCATCGGAGGTGCAGGGGAAGGACAACAAACTAACCACAAAAAGGAGTTCCAAAGAAATTGTTTTTTTCATCTCGAATTTAGCTTAGCTTGACAATATTTTCGTGCGTACACCCGAGACCAGGCCAAGCCCATCGACACGCCACACTCGAAAAATACCGTGGGGTTTTCATGACAAGTGTCTGAAACCAAGATCTCGCCTGGTCCAGAAATCTCAACGGCGGAGGGCCCGGCGCTCTGCGCGTACGCCCGCACCGTACGTTCTCAACTTCCTCCACGTCGTACGTGGCCAAGCCGTGCCCACCTGGTGGGCAGCGGCTCTGCGACTTCTCCTTGTGGACACGGCCGGCTGCTCGGTGGTGTTGTTCACCCCCCCCACCCGCCTGGTCGCCACTCACCCTCGTCCATGCAGGACAGGTAGAGCCGCTTGGCCTTCGTCACCGCGTCTCTGTCCCCGCTGCCGGCGGCCTCCTCCAGCAGCCCTGGGGACAACGGGAGAGGCGTTCTTATATTTTTTTTGCGGGGGGGGGGGGGGGCGAGCGATTCGAATGAAGCGTGGCGGTGGATGTTGACGATGCGATAAGAGGCGCCGGCGGGCTGACAGTGAAGAGCACCTCAGTAGCACAGCGCAGGATGGAATTCCGTTTTGAAATGTACATCGTAAAAAAAGCCTGCGTGTGCATCCCTGGCCTGATATGTCATCTACGTGCCGCGAAGAAGGGCGAATATCAAATATGCTGCCTATTATACAGTTTTTTTTCCTTTTAGTGAAAATTATTAACAAATGTGCTATTCGTACTTAATCACCACAACCAACGCAGTATCACAATAATATTCTTCCAATTCTAACCAAGTATAGATTTCACTTACAACTTATACAATTTTATGATAATATATAACGTATTACATTTTAACATTGGCTCTTGTTTTCACTTTTCATTAAAGTATCAGGATCGTGAGAGATGCCAATGACCTGTGGAGGCCTTCATCCAGCAATGGATTGACCGCGGCTGACGATCAATATGGCAGGCTTTTTTTGCTGGTAAAATTGGAAGAACATTAATTTTGTTCATTATAATTACAAAGTGGCCTTAAAATAAAAAAAAAATGCTGAACCACCCGGCTTCGCACTATCCCGGATGGCGGCGAGTAATCATAAACTCAGCATGGGCGATGTGGGCCACATCCGATGCACAGTGGCGCTTATTAAAAGACAGCTCCCCTCGCACTGCAACGGCAGCGAACTTCAAACACCGGAACGCACCGTGAATAGTCCCCCCCCCCCACCCCGGCAGAACAACAAAAAAAAACTTCGTTCGGCATCCGACGATATTTCTTAACTGGCCATCTAAACTTGATCTACCCTTGCAAATGTTATGTCCATGCTGACGGAAGGCGAATAAGACTGCACCGAGGCAGCAATGGCATGGAATGCCTGTGATTCAGCACTCTAAAAGGCGCGCATTAGTGCGTCGTACAGATCTGTGAACCTCCCAGACCCGCTGGGCAGGAAGAAGGGAGTACAGCAAGTGGGTTATGAAGCCTGGGCTGTGTTGATCTTTGAGTGGCTGTGTCTTCTTACTCGTTCAGAAACATCATCTTTATGTTATGTATTTATCCTGGGGGAATCCGATGAACTACGAATCTATTTTTTTTTTACACAAATGTTTTCTCTCTGGACACTTCGTTTTTTTCCCACATGCAAAAACATATTTCAATATGAGTGGCCAAATAGCTCAATGCAGGGGCCTCCTGAAAGAGTGTCTTGGGAGTCAACGAGGCTTTCCTGAATACATTAAGTGACTAAATAAATCATGGTATCCATCACTTATTTATCGGTTGAATCACACGTCCGTAAATATTTATGAGTTCCTGCTCCTGATTTACCGCAAACACAGCAACTGCCACATCCCGCTGAGCAGTGGTGATGTCACCGCAGCGTTAGTGCCAGGTTAGGTGAACTTTGAAGTCAATTGGAGGGGCGACGGCTTGCCGATGAAGAGTTCACAAGAGAGACTGAGGTATTACGAGCTAACAGATTGTGATGTGCTGTCAACTCCCTGGCCCTGTTCAAGTCAAGGTTCAAGATCTTCCCCCTTCTCCCTCTGTCTCTGACTGTCTGCCTCTTTCTTCCTTTCAATAATATAGAAACATAAGAAACATGCATTTAGAGTATTCGGCTGCCGGCTATAGACTTACACATGATAAGCCACTTCAATTACCTATCATTTGTGGCCAGGTCGCGTTTGAAAAAGGAGCCATATAGCTCAGTGGGCCTTACATGGTAAAATCAAAATAGTTAAATATAAATATTCCCACTGCTTCTGCACATTGTCTAGAGATACAGTCGCATCTCTAGACGACGTATGAATCAAGTGGATTCAATTGCAAGCGCATTTGGAAAAGCACTCCTGAGATGCAATTGCAAATCCACACACTCAGACACACACCCACACTGTGAAATAACGCAACCGGCATCTGGGAAGCATGGAAAGTAATCGATGCACAATCTCAGATAAATCAGCATTTCCAGGGATATCTGTAGTTGCACTGTAATGACTCATGCGTGGCAACGTGGGATTATCAACGTAAACAAAAAAAAACAACAGCTGTTCCATTACGGAGCATGCTACTCTGACGTGTCGGCCATCCACCAAAAGGTGGCCTGGTCCGGCCTTCTGGTTACGGCAGTCGAAATGTAATCTACAAGTTTTGTTGTTGTTGTTGTAAAATCCCTCCCGCGCCTCTGTCCACCCCAGCAGTGTAAGTGGGCAGGCCAAATATCCATTCTGGTGGAGGCCCCTCCAATCGCAGCGGTATGAGCAATTCATTTCAGGGATGCACCTTTACCCTTTACCTTGCATGATAATGATATTCACAATGCGGCCGTAAAGATGAAGGGTACCGTAATGAGTGTTAGGGTGGTGGTGGTGGTCGTTGTGGTGCTGTACACGCCTGCAATCAGGTCCATTTAAGGCCAATTTTCTGCTCAGTCTGATGCAACGCAGTCCTACTTTGCGGCTTGGGAACATTGCGTGAGGTTTAATACTTAACTTTTCAGGACAATTTCCAGATGATCGTCCAGAACGTGAAAGGTTCCATAATAGCCACTGTCTTCCGGAATGACTTGCTTCTTTGGCCATCCACCGCAAGCGAACTCGTAAAAATTATCACACGGGTTAGCCGCAGGGTTCATGCCCTCCAGCAAACGTGTGGCTGGGAAACAGAATAACAAACACATGCATACGTAACAAAGGCAAATATCAACCAGGTAGCTTTTAACACACTGTGGGGCAAGTGGTGTCATGGGGCACCTAATGAGGCCAGCACGGCACACAAGGGGGATGGATGGCCAGCACCACTTCGTGTAGCCTATTTGGCCCACCAATTCTGATGCTCACACAGTACACCAGGTACTAATTACAAGGCTGAGTCAATCTAGGGGAGGCCTCGTAATGGTTCAGATATTTACCACCGATGTTGGCCGTGAGCGGCAATCGAACACGGGTTGACGGCTTAGTAGCCTGGTGAGTTAACGACAGCGCCACCACTCCCCACGCGCCCGTGCACGCAGACACACACACACACGTGTGTGAAAAGAGATGCGCGATACACAGCCCCAGCTCCCACTTCCACACACCCAATGAACCTTTGCCATGAAATATTAGAGACCATTTTAAATAATTGATTTAACTCGCACCGCTCTTAGTGGTACGAGCCCTTTCAGAAAAAACGAGGGTTTCTATATAAATTATGATGATCCATCGCGGATGTACAACCAACCACTCGACGGGTCTGCCCCTGTCCGCGATGAGCAACTGGCCACGACTCGAGTGCAACCATCCCCCCACGGGATCCACTACGGACATCGAGCAATTCCTGAATTCTCATTTCAACAAAAAAAATTCCCCAACGCACACAGAGAGCATCAGCATCAGCAGTGCACTCGTAATTAAATTGGCTCGGCCTCACATTTATCGTGGGGCATCTCCGGCATTTTTAAATTCACGTCACCGACTGTCGGAGCGAGCCGAAACGAGCCGGAGCGAATGGAGAAAACCAGCCGGACCGAGCGGAATGTAAATGCCCCCCTATTCGTGGAAGTGCTGCGATCGAGTTTGCGGCGAGAGGCACCGGTGTGGGTTGGGATGCATAGTTGGCAGCAGGGGGTGGACACGGGGGAGCGCGAGTGGTTTTAGAATCAACGACAACCAAGTGGTCAGCAGTGCACAGCTCCGCATCACCTATGCATGTGTATGTATGTATGTTGAACTTTTGTGGCACCCATAGGTAGCCAACCGTGCTAATCGGAGGTGCGGGCGGGGGGGGGGGTAACAAAACTAAACATAAAAAGCAGTTCTCAAGAAATGTGTTTTCCATCTAGTTTTAAAAGGCCATAGCTCCAAGACAATAACAACAATAGGCTTGTGTGCCTCCAGAGACAATTCTTTTGCGCCTGACGAGGTCAGCTGTAGGTTTTGCAGCGCCGAGAATGACTTAGTAGGCCAAAGGAAAGTGACTAAATCTTGGAGAGATAGCAAAAAAAATGCTGAAAATTACAGATATCGCAGCGATATGTATGACAAGTCATGGTCAAGGGGTTATCATGGCCAATGGCATGAATGCCACATTTCACCATCACTTCCTTCCTTCTAATACATGCCACAGCTATTACGCAGTTCACACCCGGCATCCAAGATCAGCTCTTACACTCTCATCATCATCATCACCTAGATTTTTGGGCTGATATACATTTCTATGTGACAAGCTATTTCGTCGTGCTATTATTTGTGGCCAGGTCGCTTCTGAAAAAGAAGCTAATAGCTCAGTGGGCTTTTCCTGGTAAAATAACGTTTTTTTCTTTAGTGACTTTCTTACCTTTCCCATACTTGGCACTCCAATCGTGTATTTGTATTGTTTGTTGTTGTAACTTTATCACCTGCCCCTACTGGACATCTGTGAAAAAGAGCTTAATAGCTCATCGGATTCCTCCAGTATAAATATTACGATTCTAATCACTATGTAGCTTCGAGGATATCCCTCATCATCAACCTCTGGGTGCCAGTCCAATGCCCCGTCTTGCAAACCTGCTCTCCCTTCTTTCTGCATGCGCGTCCAACCAGTCACAACCTCCTTTTTCCAATTACATCTATACAACATTTTCCTGTCACATTAATGTGCATTGCATTATCGTGCTATGAAATAACTCCCTTGTGCGACGGACTGAATTGTCGGGGCCCTTAACAACAGTGGAGCAAGTCATTTAAACGTTCGGGAAAAGGGGGGAAAAGAGTAAAGTCAGTGACATTTCTTGCCAATGAGGATTGAGACAGCGCTCATCTCCTGGTTTACAGCCCTGAGCCAACGGTGGAATTTCCACATCCCTATCCACCGCCGACTTCCTTAGAACCTCACACAACCTTCCTTAGAACCCCACACAACCTTCCTTAGAACCTCACACAACCTTCCTTAGAACCTCACACAACCTTCCTTAGAACCCCACACAACCTTCCTTAGAACCTCACACAACCTTCCTTAGAACCTCACACAACCTTCCTTAGAACCTCACACAACCTTCCTTAGAACCTCACACAACCTTCCTTAGAACCTCACACAACCTTCCTTAGAACCTCACACAACCTTCCTTAGAACCTAACACAACCTTCCTTAGAACCTCACACAACCTTCCTTAGAACCCCACACAACCTTCCATAGAACCTCACACAACCATCCTTAGAACCTCACACAACCTTCCTTAGAACCTCACACAACCTTCCTTAGAACCTCACACAACCTTCCTTAGAACCTCACACAACCTTCCTTAGAACCTCACACAACCTTCCTTAGAACCTCACACAACCTTCCTTAGAACCTTACACAACCTTCCTTAGAACCTCACACAACCTTCCTTAGAACCTCACACAACCTTCCTTAGAACCTTACACAACCTTCCTTAGAACCTCACACAACCTTCCTTAGAACCCCACACAACCTTCCTTAGAACCTTACACAACCTTCCTTAGAACCTCACACAACCTTCCTTAGAACCTCACACAACCTTCCTTAGAACCTCACACAACCTTCCTTAGAACCTTACAGAACCTTCCTTAGAACCTCACACAACCTTCCTTAGAACCTCACACAACCTTCCTTAGAACCTTACACAACCTTCCTTAGAACCTCACACAACCTTCCTTAGAACCTTACACAACCTTCCTTAGAACCTCACACAACCTTCCTTGGAACCTCACACAACCATCCTTAGAACCTCACACAACCTTCCTTAGAACCCCACACAACCTTCCTTAGAACCTCACACAACCTTGCGACTGCGAGCCACTGGCTCGAGTGCCGAGCCACCTGACTCAGGAAAGGCTGGCATAATTTTGTCACTCACCTTTCAAACAACGATTGGATCACATAGATGCATTGCAAGTGGTTCAGATAATCGGAGCAGCTGTTATCTTTCCAACATGCAATTACCGGTGTTCGCACGGTAAAGAGAACGCACGCTTCTGGTTTAAGCAAACGCAGCAATGGCATTCTTAACACAGTTTACAATTTAATTGCGGGCATCATTTTCACACGAAAATATCCCATCTCACCTGCTATTGCACAGTCTGCTGATGTGCATGGTGTCACAGGATCTGTGGAACAATGACAGATGGAAAGAGCAAAATAATTAAAAAACAACAACTTAAAATGTACGTAGCTGGCTTGTTCGGGCGGCAAATAATGCGTAACGGCATTGACTCGGCATCGCTGAGAGCCTGGATTCAAACCCAGGTGAAGGAAGAAAGCAAGCCAACCTGGACTGGGTTATATCGTCTGGGTCTCATCAGAAGAGTCAGGCTTGTTAAGTAAATGCTGCGACGTTGCGAGAGCTGAAATAGCCACTATTCTTAAGAATGCTAAGAAACCCATTAGCAACATCAGCAAAAACGAACGCTCTAAACTCGTGAATTTAACAAGAGGGATGATATAGTCATCCTCTCGGCCGACAAATGTAATGCCACTGTCATTATGGATAAAAACTCATACAACAACAAAATCCAGCACCTACTCAATGATGGGAGTTACTCAAAAATTAAAAATTAAAAGTGATCCTACTAACAGCCTCACGATAAAAAAACCAACAAGATCATTACTAGTTCGACTTCCCTAATCGAACCATCCAAACGTCCCTCCCTAAAACCCTCGGCTGCAAGACCTCCCAGATTCTATGGTCTTCCCAAGATCTATAAAGAAGGTATCCCACTACGACCCATCGTGTGCATGATCAACTCTCCTACCTACAAACTAGCCCATTTTGTATCGGACACTCTGCTTCCCTTCACTGGCAAGACCACCTCAGCAGTACTTAACTCAACCCAATTGGTTTCTATAGTCAAGGACATTGCACTGTCTACTGACGATATCCTCGTCAGCTTTGATGTGGTCTCTCTGTTTACCAAGGTCCCAGTGCCTGACACCATAACATTAATTGAAGATTTAGTCCAGCATGGACTGAACCCTGATGTACCTGTGCTAGTTAGGCATTGCCTCACCAACACTTACTTTAGCTGGAATGGTACGTTCTACAAACAAAATGAGGGTACCCCTATGGGCTCCCCCTTGTCACCAGTGATGGCCAATGTTTTCATGGAGAAATTTGAATCAGACGCCATCCAGACATCCACCCTTCGCCCTTCCCTATGGAAGAGATATGTAGATGACACTTTCGTCATCTGGCCACATGGCCTCCCAGCATTGAACCATTTCCTAGACCACATTAATTCCAGACACTCATCCATCAAATTCACCATGGAAGTGGAGAAAGATGGCAAGCTGCCATTCTTGGATGTTCTATTTGAGAGGAGGACCGCTGGCTCTTTGGGACATTCTGTTTACAGGAAGTCCACCCACACAGACTCCTACTTGAAGCCTGATTCCCACCACCACCCGAGTCCAAAGAATTATCTCATCAAAACATTATACCATAGGGCTCATTGCATTTCTGGCCAACACCACCTGGCCAGTGAATTAAAACATGTACATCTGGCCCTCAAGATGAACGGATACTCTGACCGTACTATCCGCCAAGCTGTTTCTCCCACCATACAGAAACAACCACCTGATACTCCGATCAAAACCATCACGTTACCATACATAGCAGGCGTTACCAAAAATATTCCTAAAATTCTAAACAAACACAAGATCCAGGTTCGGTTCAATACAGTACACAAAATCCATGATCTGATCCCATCCGCAAAGGATGTCATTCCTGACTTACAGTACCTCGTTGTTTACAAATTGAGTTATACCTGTGGTGACTGCTATATCGGGGAGACGAAACGACATAGTTCTGACCGAATCCGCGCGCACAAATCAGATTTGAAACACGGCATAACAAATTCTTCGGCCGTGGCTGATCATTGTTTCAACACAGCGGCTTCTAATGACATTGTTTTCTCCGATACCAAAGTTCTCTGCAAACCTCCCGGTTATTACAAAAGATTTGTCCATGAAGCCATCCAGATATACAAACATAGACACAACTTCAACCGAGAGGATGGTTTCAAATTGAGCAACCATTGGAAAGATGTTATAAACCAAGTGAAACTTTAGCTGCTTTATAATTGTACAGCCATTTCCATTGCTTTCAGTGGGTTTTATGTCAAACTTTAGCTGCTTTATAATTGTACAGCCATTTCCATTGCTTTCAATGGGTTGTATGTCAAACTTTAGCTGCTTTATAATTGTACAGCCATTTCCATTGCTTTCAGTGGGTTGTATGTCAAACTTTAGCTGCCTTATAATTGTACAGCCATTTCCATTGCTTTCAGTGGTTGTATGTACTCCTGCATCTCTTCCCCCGAACTCCCTGCAGCATAACAAAAGGTGGCTTAACTCAGCCCCCCCCCACCCATGTCCCTTTCTGGCTCCTCCCCCCCCCCTTAACCTGTATATAATCCCGGTCGTCTCAAGAGCTCCCCACTTGGTACAGCTATTCTGCTGTGACTGTTCCACCTGAAGACGGAAGCTTGTGTTGCCTCCGAAACGTCGTGATTTAATTTATTTGTTTTCTTTCATTTTCTATTACCTACGTGACTTTACCGAAAACACCAAAGAGTATGAATCCTTGCTGTCACGAAAGCTTCAAATATAGAATAAATGCTGCTTTGTTGCCAGATGTTCTTGGCAAGAACACTCTGTTTAAATAATGTAATTCTGATAATACTGGTCTCCAATGCACACAGACTGGTAGGCTAAAATATATTACATTTCTCTGGAGGGACAAACAGAGGACTGTTTATTTATTTTAATACTTATAGAGCTCCACAACAATGCATAAAAAGTAGTGTTCTTTTAAATAGAATACTGAATACTCTCTGTATAAATGTAAACAATTTGCCAGGAAATTATAATATGTATAAAAAATACATTTTAAGTCCACCAGCGTATTGGATTTCCAGACTAATCTTATCGAGTGGAATAATCTTATATGATTCTTATTGCCGGTCCTGAGTAGATATACAATTTAATTCGGTGAAATTAAACCGGGGCAGCCACAAAAAGCCCATTTAAGTCACCACTCACACTGGAATATATTGCCTTTTCAGCCATTTACAAAAAAATATACAAAATTTACTGTGCACTGAATAATTACTTGGAAAACATTTATAGGTTGCGTGGAGACAGCTTGACTTTAAAATTAGGCATTAAGGTTTTGCATAACTCATCAAATTGCTGCACGCGTTTAAACGATAATGGCCACAATATTCACTCGGTGATTCCGTGCACCGTGTCATCTGCTGCACATTCCACAATGCAGCAGAGCGAGAGTCACGAGGAGGATCACGACAAGCGGAACCAGCCAGGTGGCTCAGCGGTCAGCCCATCGTCCCTCTGGGGTTGATAAAACAGATATCACTTTCGCGTAGGAACGTGGAATTTCCACAACTGGCTCAGGGCTATGAACGGGAGATAAGCACCGCCTCAACGCCCGTTTGAGCAGGAATTCAGTTACGAATTCTTTCCCCGCGCAGAACTAACGGCAAAATATGTTTAGTGAGTGGTCTTCAAATATTTACATATTACAATTAAGCTTCCAGAATTCGTTGTAGGGAATAGCTGTTTTCCATTGCCAGAGTAAAATTTCTGCTTCATTTTCAGCATACTTTATTGATGTGATGACCTGCCAGAGATGCACTCAGCAGGGCCATTTAAAAATGCGATCACATTTTACATTTAGAGAAAAAAAAATATTTGATGAAAAAAACGTCCTAAGCGGACGTCCGAAAACACTAAATGCATATATAATAACTGAGTTGTGTCAGCATATTTTCAACTAATGCCGAGCAAAATTAACCTGGTGTCCACTGCACAGGCCCCTTTCATGTTATGATCCACTATAACATTTTTCTTATTCACGGCTCTACATAAGTTTATCACTTATAAGTACCTACTTTGTCTACCCAGTAGCGTGTTTAGTTTATTGTCCTTCACCCCCACACCTCTGATTAGCACGGTGGGCTACGTACGGTGCGAAAGAAGTTAAACATGCATACGAAGTAGAAGTGGCTACACCACAGTTAGTCGATTGGTGGTGCATTAAAGGTAGAGTAGGCCAAAGTCTCATCAAGTGGAGCGTACGCATTCCCACGAAAGTGGGCGCTACTCGTGTCGCCATGGCGGACAAGCTGGCCCGGTGACACAGCGTCCTAGAATTACACGGTCAGAGAGGCACGGCACTGTTCTCTACAGCGGGCGCACACCTCCGATCGGAGTTAACCACCACGTGTAACTGCCGCGTTTCCGACGGCGCAACGACGATCTTGTGATTTGAGCAAACACAATGATAGGATAACGCACTTTCGCTCTGGCTTGTTATCCTGACATCGAGTGAGAATCATCGGACCCCGTGGAGTCAAACGAGCCACCATCTGCGACTCCAGGACAGATAATTCATCCACTTTACTTAAGCCACGTTGACGAATGACTTGGCAATGTCTCAGCATAAAGCACGTGCAAGGCAGCAGCCCCATTACACTCGGAAGGGGGGGATGGCTGTGTCCCACACATTGTAATGGCTGCTCACACACACACACACACGCTGTCTTACTGCAGTAACCTTCTTTCAATTCTTTCATTTGCAAGCGGGGCGACAGGCAGAGCAGAACACGTAGAGGCGCAAGCACGTCGCGTATCATTCTTCATTCTGTTTAGTATTTCTTGTTGTTGTTGTTGTCAACCTGCAACTTTCCCACTGCTGGGTTAAAGGCCTTCCCCCCAATGATTCTTCCTCTCCTCCCTCTCCCCAGCTGCTCCTGTCCAGCAGTGGCCTCCTCACTCTGGCTGCTGACACCTCTACCACGGCTGTTCGCATGCCGTATCTTGCCCATTTGCACTAAATGTTTCATATATATATTTTAAGCGGTCAACATTTGTACAAATATATTTAACATCAACTGCGCCATGCCTCCGCACCTCTGATTTGCACGGTTGGCTGCGTAAGGTGCGAATTGAGTTCAACGCACATACACACATACATACGAGGGTTTTTTTGTTGTTGCAGTACGTCCCCCCAACCCCACTCCCAACGAGGTCACCCTTTCAGGGCCCAAAGCGAGCACCTTTCCTGGTCCCCAAGAGGGCGATGAAGACGACGAGGGCGACGGCCAGCACAGCCGTTGTCACGGTCAAGCCGATCTCCAGGACGGTCCATCGAGGCCTCGACGGTTTGTCCACAATGTTGGCCTCACTCTCCGAAATCTGCATGTCAGCTCAGCACACCGGCCAGAGTAGCTGCGTCCGTTGACGAGTCTGCATCGTTGAGAATGAACGCACAGACTGACAATGAGGTTACTGCAAGGCTGCGTTGAACACGGAGTCAATCAGCTGTCTCACAAAGCACCTTCGTGTTAAGAGAACACGGCCCATGGAAGCAGATATTACAGAACTACTTCTGAAATCCCTTCGAGGGACCTCAGGCCATATTCGAGGAAACACATCGCCAGTTTTCGTCACGTGACTGTAAAATAAATAATTTTAATTCTCAAAGCTGGAATTTATCCACAATTAGAGAACCAAATTCAACACGATTGTTTTGGTGCAGTTATCAAGTCACTACACTTGAGAACCTAGTTTAGTCAGCACATTCCCCGGCCTTGATTGGAACCCAGGAACTCAGCGGTGCCAAACTCAGCTCTCTGACCTCCGAGCCACCCGGCCAACTTTGCGTCATCACTTTAAAATGTATTTTAGTATAATATTTAGTTTAATATAGCGTCATCATTCATGCACACTGCATCTCACAATCACTGAGTGAGCGCAGACCAACTGGGATGCAGCCAAGTGGTGAACTGGCACCAACAATTGCCCAAACTCTGCAGTGCTCTATATATTAAAATGTTTTCAGCCAACTGTTGAGTACGAGAAGCTTAAGAACGGTGCCACTCTTTCCTGTTATCCAAGCTTTGCTCAACTATCAATGTGTAGGACTAAAAACTTATCTCCTCCAATGTTAATTTTTGCCTTGCGCCCGTTAAATGTCGTACTCTCTCCCATTGCCACTCTTTTTCAAGTTCCTAGAACCTTAGTCGATTCAAAATACTCGAGCAATCTTAGGTATAATTTGTGCTCTTCGTTCCCGGCCACTCGGTGGTATAGGCCATGAAGCCTGTCCTGCAGCAACTTCGATAAAACAAGATATATTGTTGCACTGCTGACAGACCTTACCCAAACAGCTGAATCTCATACCAGCTGACGAGGCAGAGTTTATGGATAAAAAAAACATTGTCAGTAACAACAGTATTATCGTATTTCAAGAGAAAACAGTGACATTTAAATCCATGTAGCATATATGATCAATTGCACCTCGACACGGTGTGCAAAATAACAGCGGACGCACATGATGGGAACCACCGAAGGATATCGATAGATATTTTTCATTTTCTTGAAACTAGACTACATAGGTAAGAGACAATGAGTCACTTGCAAAGAGGAATAACAATGTAGATTTCAGATTGATTACTAAGCAGACATGTCATTGTCTGGTATGACCTCAACTGGTACAAGAGCAACATGAACTTAGCCCTACACGAACTCAATTGAACGGAAGTTTAGTTATTGGCCGCCATTCTCCAGATGTTGGCGTTTACAAACTCAATACACAAAGCAAAGCACGGTCCAGTAATCACCGCTCATTAAATATGAAGAGGCCATTTATCTGTTATCGCTGAAGATCTCAAACACTCTTATGCACATCGAATGAATATTTAATTAGCCTTAAATATAGTCGCCCCTCGTCAGCGTACATTGCCTACATTTTTCGAAGCGCCCTTTGCAAAATTCAAACAATAAAACAAAACGGCACTTAAAAAAATGTACGTGTTAATTTTCGAACGCTTCATGTTTCACTCTGGCAACCCCTAGGCACCGCGCGTAAAAAAATAAAGTCTACCCTTTCCCTTTTCGGACACGCGTCTCGGCAGGGTTTTACTCGCCTGAAAAGTCGCCTGTCCGTTTGTGGCGGCACGGTGGTGGAACGGTAAGTTTTGTCCACCCACCTCCCCACCGCACGTTTCATTCGGGCTATTTAAACCAAACGTCCTCCCGTCAAAAGCGTGGGGCTATCTGGGCCTTCTCTTTCACGACTTACCTCTCCGGGGCAAGCAGTGTGCCCTTCCCGGTGTGGCTTACACCTGCAACACAACGAGCCCCACGGTGTGGGTTACTCTGCTGGCGCGCGTCGAATGTTCGAGCCGCTCTGCTGAAGAGGCGAGTGATGAGAGCGAGGTACCCAGGACACAATGCCCGCTTTTAGAGTTGAACATTACCGCGCCGTGGATTAGAAACACACACGGCGCATTGTTGTGCGGCGATAACTTGAGACAGGCCACGATCGTACTTTGGTTTTTTTTCCGTAAGAAAAAGCTTCTCCCCGCAATTTTTTTTCATTCCGTTAAAGTTTCACTTTATAGTAATATTTGTTTTTATGCTCCCCCAATTCCAACCAGACCCCCACCCCTCCCCTTTCATCCACCAGTTATGTTCCATTTGTGGTTTCGGCATCAAGTCATGGCACAGGGACAATTCCATTTGGAACTCTGCAGCTATCAGTGCAGCACCGTTGGGCATCATAGCCGGATCACTGAAAGCGGCACCAACCTTCCCGTTCTGGCAAACGTCCTGCCGCCAAACAAATCCCACCGATGCATCGCGCGGAACCGCAGGGGAGTTTGACACGTTTTCTTGCCAAAGACAACCAACCCACAACCATCATCAACCAGGATCTCAACAGTGGATCCTCGCCACTGACTCATGTCCCGATGCCCCCTTCTGGGATCGCTGCTGCTGCTGCTGCTGTCACCATCCTATAATCTCACGCAGCAAAGCAGTAGGGCCGTGCAAATGTATTTTAACACGTCCCGCCATTCTGGCAGAGAGAAGTTTTCCTCTTAACCGAACATCACGTGATGCCTAAACTACTATAAAGTAAACATTGACAAGGGCAGGTTAACATTCACATGGTTTGTATTGGATAACCTCCACCGCCAGTATTTTTTTGTCTCGCGCCCATTCTTCATACATTAGGGTGGCATTCGTAATGTGGCCAAGTTTATCATTCGAGTCCTTGAACAGATAAGGTGTTTTACTGAGCACACGGTGTAATGCTTAGTTCTTGTTTTCTGCATGGGGTAAAAAAACCGCATACTTTGACCCCCCCGTGCTTGTAAATTACATGTAACATGTATTGTATTTAACTGCAACGGAGTGTTCCTACCGCAACTCTGTCGGAGAAGTCCGCAGCGCCGCTCATTAAATTGCGTAGTGACGATGGCTTTAAGCGGTATCTCCCCATATCCGTCGTTATAAAAATGAATACGAGGTGAGTACTTTTACTCCTAAACGTGTAATATTGTACCAATAGAGAAGACTACGAATACTGTCGTGTAGTCCAGGTGGCTTACCTACAATCTAAACCTAGTTTCAAGGACAGTAAAGTACATGGTCTCATTCCAATCATCATTGACCATAAAACAACCTTACCATGAGAAATTGACACTTTTAAACGTAATTTGACGTCTTTAAATTCTGGGACTGAAACATTGATTTATCTTACATTTTTAAAACAAAGTTGCTGTGGCTGCCCCACCCACCCTCTTGAATGCCATCCTGAGCGCAGTCACAGCAGTCAACCTGTCTACTTTTAAGAGACGCTGATGAAGGATCCATCCCTAAAGTTCGGCTTCTGTGAGCGACACCGAGCCCTGAGCCTGGCTGCACGCCTCGGTATCACGGACATTCATGCCTCTGAGAAATACAGTGTTAGTTAGAAAATTTGCATTTTTTATGTTGTGATTAAATATTTGCAGGGCGTTAAAATGTGTGGCCTACTGTGGATAGATGCCAATGGAAGTGTCCTCAGAAGTATTTCTGTGGCATTATCTTCCACACAAGGTGATACACTGCTTCCTGGAAGGATTCTGAATGAAATGTCAAAATCTCAATAATCTTTTATATGGATATGAATTGAATCGCAGCAAAAAAACGATGTCTATGAAGTAAAATACGCTGCTGGCTTCAGATAACAAAGAGTGAATTCCACTCATGCCCTAAAAGAAAGCTCACAGGGGACATGAGTTCACACATACCCAGAAACCCACACAGAGACCACACAAACCGACACAGAGACTCACAGACTAACAGAGAGACCCACAGACCCACACAGAGACTCATACGCTTGCAGTAGACATGAGTTACATACCTGTCAACCCTTTATCAGTGCCCTACCTTATTACAGACCATTTCAGACCCTTATTGGTCACCTCGTGCCCTTATAAATCTCAACGTTCATCCTACAAAGTCCAATCACAAGGGAGAAACACAAGCAAATATACAAAACACACCTTCCCATATTGAAACGGCTGTCCACCATATGAACCTTAAAACTACATTTCCATGTACAAGAATACGGGTAAACCGTATGGGTTCACAGGTATGGAGTTCACGCAGAGAACCATAAACTCAGAGATTCGTAGGCTTAAAGTAGAATGAGTTCACACAGAGAACCATGAGCTTGTAGGAGACATAGTTCATGCAGACACCCACGGCGACTCATAGGCTTGCAGTAGACATCAGTTAACACAAAGACCCACATACACAGAGACCCACAGACTCGCAGTAGACATGAGTTGAAAGTGTTTCATTGTCGCGGTGCGCTGGAGTTACATTTGGAGATAAATTCCAATGGTGGAGAAGGTGACTTGCACCTCCCGTAGCCAGTTTGGATAGGATGTAGGGCAGCGCATTGCTTACGGGGGTGACCCTCCTGATGGCTGCTGGTGGTGCTGGAATTCGCGACCAGAGCAGCTTATTCGGGACAATGTTTGCTTCGTCGCAATTGTTCCTCCACCGGTTTCTACTGCTGCCCGGGGTTAGTCCAATTCTTTCTTCACCTCAACATACGACGCTGATAGAACATGATGATCACAATCGTCGTCAGCCACTCCCAATCCACTGTTGGATGAGGAAAAAACACCATCCCATCCCTGCCTTGTGCACATGGCATTAACATTACTAGTACACGCGTCCGTATTTATAGATTGACGTCACCTGAATGTTTATTGTCCCTGCCACAGGTTGTGTACGTCGGTTGTCATATATTCAACTCATGTCTCCTACCTGTGCCTTGCAAATACCCCGTTATTCATGAACTCCGTTCACAGAATTCATCTTTCTGTGCCACTTTTCGTTTATCTCCTTCCAGTTTGAATATTGGTGTCGGCAAACAACGTTTTGATGAATTTCCTCATCGAAGGCATAATGACACTTTGTAATTTCAACAACAAAAAAATGAGCAAACTTTAAAAGAAAAATCATCACCTCCGTGTCGTTCATTTCATCAGCGTGGCTATGACTCACTTTCAGAGGTGTTCATACTCCCGTGTGCTGCATTATTTTCCTTTTATTGCAATCGAACGACTGCGATCGTGATGGCGATGTGCTGTAGGGAGCTCACTGGTGGCCTAGCTTATACTGTGCCAGTGCTTGCTGTGTGCAATGTCACTGAAGAATCCAGTGGAATCCATCAACAGGCTCTCCGGAAACATCTCCCTCCCTCCTCTCCCTCCCTCCCTCCTCTCCCTCCCTCTTCTCCCTCCCCACCTCCCTCCCTCCACAACTGCCAAAAGAAAAAAAACTGCCGAATCATCATTCTCCACCTTGGGACATCCCAATACACTTACAGCTCTGTCTTAATCCACTGCTGGATAAAGGCTTCCCCACACGATGCAAGTTCCCCAGGGTTGGTTGACCTTAACTTAACACGCTGCTCAGTGCAGGGAATTGAACTCGGGTCGCGAGGATCGTGGTGAAGTGTGCCAACCACTGTGCCACCACTCCACCACAGCTCTATAGTATGTACGTGGAATGTGAGGCTAAAGTGAAAACTCGGCAAAAAATTGAATTTTTTGGTACCATGAGGAAGCATCCCCGCAGCGCGACCATACTTCACCGCACTGGTCAGTATGAGGTGAAGGGGGCCACAAGCCCCAAGACCGGTTCAGTTATCGCTCGCCACTGATGTTTGCCAAAACCGGGAGTTAAACTCAGGTGGCCGGGTTTGTATTGTAGTGCGCTAACCCCACTGCATTCCAGATAGCCCACACAACTGCATTAGTCTCATAATACATGACAGTGAATAAATTGGCAATGAACTAGTCCACACGTCCGCATGGAGGAAGCAGACTTTGACAGGTGTAACGCGTTGCAGTCATCCATGCAGACAAAGGTAATCTGTGCCAGTTGCGTGCAGAGATTTGAACACTGCCGGTGTTGTTGCAACCTTGGCAATGCTGTCTGGGACAGAACACAATGTTACCCATTTTGGCGTTTCCAGAGACGTTGAAAAAGTAACGGTGATTGATAGTGAATAATATGTCCCTCCCCCATCCCCGTCAGCCTCGCCTGCCTTTATTAAACCGCAAACCTCCATCCAGCTTCAATGACACTGACGCGTGGAATATGAAAAAATAATAAAACATTCATAATTTATGGAACGTACGAGTGATTTTTTAAACAAAATTGACAGCATGAAACCGAAAACGGGCGCGGAATTCGACCGAGGTTTAACGAGCGATTTTATATTTTTTTTCTTTCTCCGCAGCCGGCGGGCCGCTCGTTACCCGAGCGTCACGTGTCCGAGTTGTCCCGAGCGTTTCTCGCCTCAATATATATTGTTTTGGTGCAAAAGAAGCTCAATAACAAAAACAAATAACTTACAGTGGGTGGCAAAAGCCTGAGAAAAGAATATTATTAACGTGCAGATGAACCCTGAAAACAACATTTTGGATAAGTTAACTGATATATGGAAACAAACCGCACTGGGATAATGAATCACTACGCCGATATTCGAGTGGAATGACACACTTACCCCATTGTGATTGCCGGGGCGAGATAACTCCTCAATTTTTCTGTTTCATATGATTGTTGGAAAGTTAGAACTTCGTCCGACTTCGCCATTCTCTTTGTGAGATGAAAGTTCCCTTCGTGCAATCTTGAGCAGTAACTGCGGTGGTCTGAACTCCACAATTCTGCGCAACGAAAATCATTGAGGGACGGCATTTATTTCGTTAAAATACTCGGG